TGAGACATGTGTTTCAATTCCTTTTACTCATTGCTTTACTTGCTCCAGAACCTGGAGATTGATACTGATGACATGGGTGGTGATTGGTTTTGGGGGCTTAATAGACTGTTGAAATGTCATCCATTAGCTCATAAGATGTGGGATAATGAGAAATCTTTGACTGAAGTTTTTGTGAGTTGCTTCAAGTTGTAATGTTATTTGGCTCATGAAATAGGACATTTTGGAAAGATGTTCTGTGAAACTGTTATCAATGTTCTTCAATGTCCTTTGTATCGATAATAATACTAACCTTGGAGATAATAATTGTGAGCAACATCTTTGATCACAGGGGTAGAAAATTTTGATATTTGTGGATTCTACTGTATCCCACACCCTCCTCGTGTAATAACAAACAATTTTTTGAGACATGTTTATATTGAAGTGATATCCAAAATTAAAAGGGGGTGTGGGAGGGGGCTGAGACCTTTCTTTTAGCTTTGATTCTATGCATAGTTTGGTAATTACTGGTAATCCAAGGTAGCTTGATTTTTGTCAAGGTAACTGAGTTCAATAGACCTCTCCACAATAACCCTTTCACTCCCAAGATCTAATTAGTAATTCCCCTTACTATTTGCCATACAATTCTTTGCCATACAATTCTTTGATGCTAGTTCAGAGAATTTGGTATTGGATCAACTAATAATCCCGTGGTTGATATTCTTCTCTATTCTCATCACCTGCCTGCTTGATATTGAATTGATATTGTAAGGAGAAATTCTGTCTTGGTCACTTGTGGGAGTGAAAGGGATAATGTCATTGTTGTAAGGAAGCAAGAGGAAAAAAAAAAGAAATAATATATTGAGTTCTATAAAAATGGGATTTTATTTGATAACAGCTTCTTGGGATCATCAGCACAATCTTGAATGGCTAAATTGCAAAGGAATACACTCAGAAAACTCAGATCCTTATAGGAATTAATTCTAACTTACCTTCTCCTTTGCTTTTTACCTCCTGTGCATTGTAAATAGGCCAAGTCAAATGACAATCTCTGCCCTTGCTTTTGTGTAAATAGTATTTGCATTCTCAATCAGTAGCTCAAAGCTGAACCCTTAGAAGCATTACTTGGTTTCTACAGGCTCTTGTTGTAGAAACCCAGGTTGCTTAGTTCATCTCCATGAAAGAAAAGTTATTCATGTTGCTTTAAGACAATAGTTGCCTTTGACAGCTGAGTCCTGCTAGACCACAAACTTGTGGCTGTTTTGATAATTGAGAGCAGTAAATTAATCTTAGTTGGTTTCCATTTCAAAAGTGGGCCACATGTAGGCTATAATGTTCTCGGTAATGTTCTCGGTAATGTTCCCGAAATGATCTTAAAAGTTCAAACTAACAGTTGAAATAATCAAAGTGTTTCTTTGATCACTTAAGGCCGAACTGAAAATAAGTGTTTATTGTCTGATTTCTGATTGAATGTCAAAAAAAATCTTAACCATGTGCTCACTTGACAAAATTTTCACCAAATTTTAGTACAATAGAAAGCAAGGGAAAAAAATCCTGGTTTTGGTACCAACAACATCATTCCAAAATAAAGAACAAAAAGCTTAATAACATAAGAAATTGTTTCTGGCCCAGTTTTTTGGGCTGAAACTACCCAAAATTGTGTAAGTGACCTAGTCCTGTTCAGGCTTTCAGTATTTTCCCTGAGTTTTTACTCTTCACCATTTCTTGAAAGAAACCTGCTGGACAGTGCTAAATTCAAATGATATCAAAGATGTTGATGATTTCTAAAATCACTGCCAGGGCTTTTGTTGAAAGAACAGACTGTTGATAACCTTGGTGCTTTTGCATGATCACATGATTGAATGAAATATGAATTATTTATTGAAACTCTTGATCAAAATGTAAATGTTACTGTCTTGAGTTAATTATATTTTCACACTAGTGTGAGTATCAGTTGAAAAGAAATTTAAATTTAGGGCCTCATTCATATCTGTTTTGCACTTTTCTGAAATTTCTGAACTCACAAATTGAGCAGATTTTGTGGTAATCTGGTGAGGAGACTTCCATTGAAAACAAAGCAAAAATCCAAAGCAAAATCAGCATCAGTTGTAAAGCTTGTTATTCTTAAATTGTGATTTTTCAACCCAAAACAAATTGAAGTTTTAGATTATCAATTTTAATTTTCAGTGTGCAATTCAGGGGTACAATTTTTTCTATGAATTGTTTTGTAACTTGCAACTATGTAAGGTTCAGAATCAAGTCTTTTTTTCATGCAATTAATTTTATTTTTTCACTCCTTTCTTGCTTCAAACTCTCAAAGCTGGAAAAGTCATTGCTGTAATTACTAAATAAAGCCTTGCTTTGTACTTGTCTTCAGTATGATTTCTTTGTATTTGTGTGTTAACTTCTACAGCTGTATTAAGTCAGGTGTTAATATTCACATTTCATGCACATCTGAGATGGATATTATTGGGAGAAGTGACATGTTAAACACTTCTGGGAGTTTAAGAGCTAACTGACAATGAATCGAATTAAAAGTGTGAAGCTCCATTTCAATTGTTTGGTTTTCAACAACTCATGCAGCATGCGGCAATGAAAACATTGTTGTCTGCATCAGAAGGGACTTTCTTGGGAGATAAAAGACCTTTAAAACACTCCATTTAAATTATTTTCAATCTTTTACCTCAATGAGTTACAAGAACCTTTGGATTATTTAAAATTTAGTCTATTGTCAATTCCTTAACATTACTGTAAATTTAAAACTTTCCTTAAAATGTTCAATCTCACACCAACTGAATTATTCAAAATGTTTTCATTGGGATATTCACTTACAACAATCATAGATGGTTGATCATCTTTAAACTAAGAATACCACAAAATATTAAATAGTGCTAGAGTAACTGTTCTTGTTGCTGATATGCAATAAATAAATATGAGTTATCTTGGGTAACTGTCCCTAACCAAAGGATAATTTCATTACTTATAATAAAAAAAATTTAAATCAATAGACACTAGAGAAAGAATGCTTTTAATGTGATGATTATTTAATGTAAAAAACCAGTAAGGATAAGAGCCCAATGACTGCCACAGCCAATCCTGGTTCCCTAGACTTAACACAACTGAGAATATTGTCACTTCTTTTTGGTGGATTTCCCTTTCCTCCTAAACCAGATATTTTGCCTATTTTCCTTTAAGTTAGTATTTTTCAGATGCCCATTATCACTCTGGGATGGGGAGAGGTACTGCAAGAGTAAACCATCTTATCCAAGAACACATTAGAAAATATTTAACAAAGGAATGCACGGAGACACTTATTCATGCCTTTATATCTAGCTGCTTGGACTATTGTAACAGCCTCCTATCTGGAGTTACTGAGTGCCATCTTCACAAATTACAGAGTCCAGAATGCAGCTGCACACCTTATATTCCAGGAGAGCAGATTTTGTCATATCACACCTCTGCTCAGATCATTACACTGGCTGCCTGTAAAATATCACATAGTTTTTAAAATTATCTTAATTAATCTTAAAGCAATACATGGTCTTGCCCCGGCCTACATAAGTGAGCTGATTTCTGTTATAGACACCAGAAGATATGATTTCCATTCCAATGACAGCTTACTCCTTGCTCCTTGCAGGGGTAAAACACTCACCACACTCAGCAATTGATCTTTCCATGCCGCTGCCCCTAAATTGTGGAACGATCCTCTGGGCTCTATTAGAAACACCCAATCTTCAAACAAGTTTAAGGAGCCATTAAGACTTTTTTATTTGCCAAAGCTTTTTAATTCTTTGTATCTTATTTCATATTTTTACATTTTCTTAGTGATCATTTTTATTTATTTATTTAATTTTTTTACAATTTTTTTATTTTTATTTTTATTTATTTATTTATTTTTTAATTTTTAGTTTTTAGTATCTATGTAGGGGTTGAGTTTTTAACATTTAATTGTAATGTGCAATTGAAAATTCTTATATTGATAATTGCACAATATAAGTCTATAAATTATTATTATTATTACAACCCAACCACTGAGTTTACCACCAGATGATAATGTCTATGGATGAAATAAAATGTCAAAGTCTTCAATTTTGACAGTATCATCCCTTCACCATGTCACACCATAATCACTGTGTGTTCTTATTGGAATTACTCCTCTAAGATATGAGTATAAAGCACAGGTCCACACAGGGGCCTTTCTTTTGCAAATTTCATATGAAAGGAAAAAGTATTCAACACCTAGCTCTTATGGAGTCCTTCACATCTCTAAAAACGGGACCTGAATGAGATATAACACTAGCTAAGCTGAAAGGGATGCTATATAGATAAGCACCTATGTCATCTGTGCTTATTTCAAATTTCAGCTAAAAGGAGGTGTACATATTGGAAGGAGGGTGCTTATTTAAGGGGGGGAAGGCTCATGAAACTATTACCTTGTATTGATGCTGCTGTAGTTGAAGCTTACAAAGTTGTTAGTAAGGTGGCAATAGAAACAGGTTTTCCTTGTATCCCTACTATCTAAGATAGTGGGGGTGGAGGGGTGGCTATCTGAGGGGCAGTTGTTTCATATTATGGCCTAAGGGGTGGGCAGTTTTGTGGAGGGGGCACTTATTAGAACGAGGGCACTTATTTGAGGCAATATGCTATTTGAAATTGCCATTTGGATAATTGTTGAAGTCTTACACTCCATGGCTTAGAGGAAAATGAGCATGTTCCTGTATCTTCATGTATGACTTTCTGCATAATGATTTTGTGCTTTCACCTTTTGATCCCTAAGACTAAGTGACTAACATCTAATTTCTCCCTACTCTGTCACCCCTGAATCACACTTTAAGGTCAGCAGAATTAGGGAAATGATCACCAAATAATAAAGTTCTTGATTGTTTAAAAAATTCTCCTTATCAGCACCTTAGGAAATGTATAGAGAACAGTTGTGGAGAATATGCATATTGATGTAAGGGTGTAGAGGGTTAATTAATGACCCAAACTTTAAATAAGAATAGTGATGATAATATCTCACTAGATTAGGACCCTGTATGCCACTCAGCACTGATTTGATTCTGTTATCTACATCAACCCTCTCCATAGAAAGTATCCTATTACAGGCATTACAACACTTATCAGAAGACTAGATACAAAGTTAACAGCATGATTGTCCAGGATGGCTCGTCCAGATATGTGTTTAACTGTTGGGGATGGCTTGTGAACCACACATTTCTTCACTGAACAATACCCTGAGTACTGAAGAGTGGCTCCTAGTATAGAGTCAAATGCTGATCCCAAAAAGCCTCCTAAACAACCAATCAAAATAATTGGCCATTGAGGCGGAACAGCTATAATTCTACGGATAGTCAATAACGTCAGTAAAGTTATATAGTAGGCAATCCCAATCACTGTGCCTCCAAGGATGCTTGCTATGGTTCCTGTTATTGTGACTCCTCCATTTGTACCAACAGGGACCTTTGAAAATGTTGTTATGAGCAAAGGAACGTGTGAACTCATCACTGTTCCTATTTCAGAGGCCCACGTGTCACCACAGCTACAAGCGAATGATCCAAGCACAGAAACCGAAAGCACTGATGCAGTAAAATCCTTTGCATAATCAATCGCATGTTCGCCAATACCAACATCAATCATGTAAAATAGAGCCAGTAATGTTGGGATGCCACCATTACAAAAGACTTGAATCCAATTTCTTTGGCCTCCTATAAAACAAAATGGATAAAACTGAATTAAATTGACAGAGTAGAAAACAATCTAGTAAGTTACCTCAATCGCAAGAAACATGCTTCCGAAGAAATTTTGACAACAATCACACTGAAGATTTGCTTCTCTCTCGATTGGGTCATAGCGTTCAACCATTTTAAAAGATCAATTAATACTCAGGATTATTCATATCAACAGATAACATCACAATGGCGGGAACTGCACGCAAAACATGCATTGTAGTTTTTTTAATGGTTTAATTAGCCACTTCCTCCTTACATGATGCCATGTGGAACAGGTACCAATTTTAAAGTTCTGTGGCATTTTGCTACAAATAACTTCTATCTCTAGTTCTACCTCTTAAAGATGAAGTAGATCATGCAGCACTGTGTTTTTCCAGAATGGCAAAACTTAAATTGCATGGATATCTAGATCAATGATTCGCTTACTTGTGCTTTATCGTCTTTGTTTACATACATTAAGGTCGGATCGAATTGATCACAATACAGGTCAATCCTGAACTAGCTTTTTAAAACAAAATTAGCATTATGAAGACAAACCTTTTTTGAAATCGTCTTCGATTTTTTCCTTCACGTCCGATTTAAACTTCGTTAATTTAGAGCTCGTTAGGAAAAAGGTTATGCAGGAGGCGAAGAAACACAAGTTGCTCAGAGTCAATATAAACCCAACTATAACAGCAGCGAAGGCACCCGAGAAATCGAGTGATTGTTTCTTCAGACCGTTTCTTACAATAACCAGACACGAAAAAACAGCGAAGGAAGCTCTTGCTAGAAAGTAATGAATAACCATCTTGACCAGCAGGTTCCTCTCAATCAGCTCCAAAGTTGTCCAAAGTACATTTCATCACCTTCTCTTTCACCATTTGAACTCTTTCGAATCACTCGTCTTAGTCTCCCCGCGACTTTTTTCAAAATGGCGGCTTAATGACCGTTGTTGTTAGGGCGTACAAAACCTACACAGAAAGATTACAGTGATAACCAAGAAAAATGCATAAAGGACTAGAGGGAGATACATTCTCAGATGATTCCCTTGGTGAGTCGACTCGGTCTTTGCTAACTCCAGTGTATGGCAATTCAGGTCGATTTGAAGAACCGGAGCTATCCGGGGGTTCCTTGAGCGATGACGACGAAACAGACCACGAAAAGGACTACAGCTTTGAATTTGGAGGAACAACCAGCACTCCTAAGAGCAAGACCAAAGTATCAAGAAGCTACACTCCCCCGACTAGTTCATCATTTTCAGGATTGAAAAAATCCGCTAGTAGATGCACAAACTCAGCCCCGAGATCAAATGCCAAAGACAGCAAAACAACTATCTCAAAGACAGTTGAGAACCAAGGAAACTGTCTTTCTCCGTGGGAAACCTGGCTAATTAAAAAGGCTGCAGAAGATCGTGAAAAAATGAAGACGAGAAGACTTGAAAAGAAGAAGGCGCGAGAGGAAAAAGAGAAAAAGGAGAGAGAAAGGGAAGAACTTTTGAGAGTTGCAAGTGAGAAATATGTCGAATGGCTGGAAATCAAAAATAAGTCTTTTACAGAGGAGAGGAGAATAAAACATAGAGAAGAACGCCTTGAAGAGAAGAAAAAAGAAAACATGAACCGTATTACTCAAGAGAAAGCAGCAATCAAATTCAACAATTGGCTCCAGGAGAAGAAGACAAAAGAATATGAGAGAAAAATAAAGGAGGAAGAACATGCAAGAATAACAAAGGATCAAGAAGTTACTAGGAAAATGAACAATGAAGAAGCTTACAGCAAATGGATTGCAGCAGTTAAAGAAAAACCTAAACCTGTGTACAACAGTTTTGGTTACACAGGAGGAATGTTAACAGGGTATTATGAATGGGGTTCATATCCAGCACCTAGTTACTGCAATCCTATTCCATGGGTGCCTCCTAAGATTAAAAGAGATTGTAACAGAAGGAAGGGCAAAGTAGAGATGCAGCCTGCATCCCCACCTCTTCTCTTTAGAGACATTGAAAACAGACAAGCAAGACAGAAGAAAAAATAATCAGTGCAATTTTTAGTTTGTATTTTATTATTGAACCCCGCACACATAGTTTCACATTCAGCTATTTTCTAAACACTGTCAATTTTTTTCTGATGAATCAATTTAATATTAAAATAAACACTTTATTTAAATGGGCACACAAACAATACATTCATAAAATAAATGTATGGTCTGAACGTTACATTATGTAAGGCTGTTGTACATTTTTCAAGTTGCATAGTATTTTACTGAGCTCCATAGGGGTAAGGAAGAGTACAAGCATTGACTAAAATGTCTGTGTGTTTATCATATGTGAAACCATTTGTGTCCATTGTGGTTTCCAGCGTTCTCTGCCATTTTAAGCTTGCTTTGCCATCACTGGTATTTCTGAATACCAGTGATAGCAAAGCAAGCTTAATACAGCAGAGAACGCCAGAAACCAAAACTGACACTCAAGGTGAGGGTAAATTCTATCGATTTTACGTGTAAAATGTTCATATTCTGAAATATTTATTGTTGTAAATTGACCATATTTTGTTCCCCATACTATTCCTTATAACATGTTCAAATTCTCAATGGTTCCTATCGTAACTTAAAACCGAGTCACACAATGCATGAGGCTTTCATGAATTAATCATTTGCTTTTTCTTGAGATTTGAGCTTGGGACACCTGTGATAGTATTAATCAAATATGGCCTGCATGAAAGACAGACTAAGATGGAAACAACACAAGTCAAACCCTTGAAGTGTTTTCTATGACCAACAAAAAAAACCCGATGCAGTGTAATACTGTGGCATATTTGCGTGTTCCATTGTCCTAGTGTGGTAAAATAGGGTAGTAAAGGAATAATACAATATCTGATGCGTTTCCCTCAGCAATTTCCCCCATTTCAAAAAATTGTAATTTCTATTGTAAATTGAGAAGAGTTGTCTACCACATTCATTGATTAAGTGGGAGAGAAAATATCTGGTTCAAGGCCACAACATGCAGACCAAGGACAGCCATCACATATGGCCCTTAATAAAAGAATTTTTTATAATATTTTAAAAATACCATTTGTGGTCATATTAAAAACATACTTATCTCCAACAATAGGTAGGTTCCTTGCTGATAATACTAAAAATCAAAATTCCAAGCTGTTTCTTATCCATATCCATAGCACGGTATATTCCACCTTGCATCTAACATAACCTGGCTATGGGCACCAGAATTTGCAGTAGCTGTTGTTTACAAGACTAAATGATCACCATTTATCAAGCACAAACAGTAAGTATGGCTTAATGATTGGATTATTAAGCTTTTACATGAAATACTACTCAGGTGTATATAATATGAATGTTGCTTGTTTTCAGAAAGTTGTTGAAAATGATTTTCTGCTCAACAGTATTTCCTTTGAGCCAAATGAAGAAGTGAGAGCAAGGCAAATGTTTGGCAAAAGTCATGTCAAGGGCTGAGGAGGGGAAGGGATGGGGAGGGCCCTCCCCTCCGTTGAAGGAAGTGAAAATACTGCTGTTCAAGCTAATGATCAACTAGTGTAAATTTAAGAAAGATGTACTTTGTAAAGAAGAGCAAGATAAAAATTCACTATGAATAATGCTTGAACACAAATGATTGCCTCTTAACATCACAGAAACAGTTAAGGCCCTGTTTCCAGACCATGGTAACAGCTCATTCTTTGCCCCTATGCTTCATTGTGGGCTGCTTCTGTTATGTAATGTGCAATCTTCTGCCCACATTCCAAAACCTTCTAATAGCACAACTGCCTACACCTTGTCAATGTAAGAGTCCCAAATAAGCTCCTGTTTAGTCTTCATTCTTGTGAAATTGGGCCAGGAACCTACAAAAAAAGTTTTGATACAAGATGTCAAGGAATAAAGAAAGCAGATGTACTATTTAATCAAACATAATTATAACAAGGTTCATCTTGGTGAACTTATATGACAAGAATTACCTCTGTTCTACTCTTAAAAAAAAAAAGTTGAAATCTGTCCTCCTACCGGCACATCATATAAGTATAATGACATGAGCAATAATGAACCAAAGTGTAAGATAGTTACAGCAGTAAATTTGTCTCAGTATGAACCAAAGCAACAAATTAAAGCATATATTTTGGCCTAAAGCTCACAGCTTTTTAACCAAAATTGCATAAATGAGGCATCCTTTTCTGCTCAAAAGTGAAAATAACTTACTAATAACCACCAAACTAATGAACCAGTTGCTTTGCACAGGAAGCAATATTCACTGCTCTGTTTTTTTAAAAACTTTTCATTCAGCAGAACTCATAAGATGGGGAAATGAACTGTAAGAACTTTGTACAAATCTACCTTTCGGGAAAATGAATTCTGGTTCCAACACAGTAGCCTTTACTAATGAATAGCTTTATCTCAGAAGGAGGCTCCAGACGTACCACCACTATAACAGGTGCTAATACCTAACAGTGAACAAAGCTGACACAAAATTGAACACAATTAACACAAAATAAACCTGCAGTTTTCTTAAAAAAGAATAATGACTAAAATGTACAGAAACAAGTGAAGTTCCATAAAATTTGAAGTGTCTGGCTTTGATATGATAAAAATACAGTCAGGGAAAAACTATAGGCCATGTTTGTCACATAATAGACTCTTTGCCTCACTTTAATAAATGCAGTACATCAACTTTTCATGATAATGTAAGCTATGTTGTGAGTGCATTTCCTTTTCTGTGTACACAAACCATGCAACCATGCACAAGACAAAAATTCCCCTTTCGTTTTACCATATGACTAATATTTTAGAAGAATGATGAAAGAAAAAATGATCTTCATTCATATTAAGAATTTCCAAGCACATAAGCTCATCAGTGTAACTCCACCTTGTGCCTACCTGTTTATACTTGGCCCGAATCTTTTCAAGGTTAACAAATAATTCCTCACTGGTGACATCATTTATTGGGAGAGAAGAGATCATCTCCTTTAATGTCTCTAACAACTTAATATGCCTTAAAAAATGAAAAAGAAAGAAAAAATGGCTGTTTGGTATCCGTAATAAATGTTAAATGCAAAATGACTTCACACAAGAAAAAATTGCCAGGTACAGTAGAACCCAGTAACGAGAACAAGATCCGATTTCCCTTTACTCCATTTTTTCAGACATGTATTATCAGCTACCTCAACTCTGGCCCCCTCCCCCCTGACTCAAACCATTTTTTGTTTTCCTTGGAAGGTTGAGATGGTGGGGTTTCACATTACTATGGTACTTAACTCCCACGATCTCATTAGTAACTCTCCTTATTGTCTGCCATACAGTTTTGGTGATGTTAGTTCAGAGAATTTGGTATTGGATCAACTTATAATCCCCAAATTGATATTTTTCTTTACTCTCATCACTTGTCTGCTTGATTTTATATTGATATTGTAAGGAGAAATTCTGTCTTGGTCACTCATGGGAGTTAAAGGGTTAAAGAAGAAATGATATTGTTCAATTCTGTTTTCAAACTTGTCAAAACAGATGCAGTAAAGCCCTGTTTAAACTGTTTGAAATTAATTCTTTCACAAATAAAATCAGAGGACCACCCTGATTAATCAAACCCATCCAAGTAGTTAATTGTGTGTAGTGAATATTCAAGACTTTGGTATATACTGATTCATTAAACAGTAAATTCTTATAAATAAGGAAAATTATTTTTAAAGGCTTCCATTACGTGAATCAATACCTTTGTTTTGGGTCAGGAGTTTCATTCAAAATTTCAAGCCAGAGAGAGACAAATCCAAGATAGAATCCAACCTGAAAGGGATCATACTGGTCAGTCCCATAAATCTGTTAAGTTTTGTATTTGTGTATTCAATGTTATCTTCTTTTCAGCAATAGCCATTGAATTAACATGAATTAAACAAAACTACAGTAAATGAATGAGTTCACAAGCCAACTCAACTTCAGCAATCTTTCAAGGTACAGCAAAAACAAAAAATAACAGGATTTGTCTTGCTGAGGTTTAATGAATACTGTAAATTCCTTGAATAAGAGTCGATGCTCTAATAAGCACCCTCCTCCAAATAAACACCCTCCTCCAAATAAGCACCCACCCCCTTGGCCATAACATCAAACAGGTGTCCCTCTTGAAACAAATACCCCCCCTCCCCTTCTCCCTCACTTTCTTAGATAGTAGGGATACAAATAAAACCTATTTTTACTGCCACTTTATTATAACTTTTTAAGCGTCAGCTATAGCAGAATCAGCACAAGTTAATAGTTTATAGCATAGACTCCTCTTGATTAAGCATCTCCCTTCCGATAAGTGCCCCCCATCTAGCTGAAATTTAAAAAAAAAAAAGCGTCCCGGCGCTTATTCAAAGTAGTACAGTATTTAGTTAATCAATACGTAGATGTCAATTTGTTGATTGGATGTTCTTAATTCATGGAATAACTTTTCAAAAAGCAGCTCGTGGAAGATTTATATTTCTATTAATCTTTCTATTCCCTGGTTTGGGAAGAAAAAACGTACGAGGAAAAAAAAAACTGGAACCTAGTTTATAAAAGACTGGAAAGACTCAGGAACCCCTCAACAGATAGACAAAACCCTCGTCTGTCAAAAGATTCCCACCAAATTAAAAATAAATTTCTGATAAAAACAAAGTAGGTTGAATCAACACTCAACTCACCTCGCCTCCAACTTCGCTTCCTTTCACCATACCAAGTTCTCGTCCTTCTTCCATACCCTTCAAAAGACCATCCTGATAGCCTCTCTTATGACCTTCTTCATAGCATCTAGTGTTTAAAAAGTTTCTCCTTATTTCTAATTGATTTTTAAAGTATCCAACAAGTCTAAGGTTACCTTTCCTCCAGAAAAACAACTGCATCAAACCCATCGTCGATCTCGTCTCTGTACGCCATGATAGTTTTTTCCCAGATAGCCTTGCGCGCCTAATAGAGAGTAGAAATAATTAGAGTGGAATGGACTTTGGAAATACCCCCCCCGAACAGGAGCCCGTGGGCCCCCGCCCTCGAATCAATAAATCTTCCGGCCTTCATAGTGCTGAGACTAAAAGGTTGTGATTACTTTCACCAAACTTGGGGCACCTGTGCGCCGAGGAGACGCAGCGAGTTCAAATGACTGTAATTGCATCGCATCGGGTAAATTATTTTGAATTCTAACAGGGCTCCTGATTTTAACCATAATTTCTTTGCAAAGTTCAGTTAGAATCCCATAATTAATCTTGTGTTTAAGCAAAGGAAACCATCACTTTGATGTCACTCAAGGAAATTTATCATAGGGGGAAATGATAAGCCTGATACTATTTTAATATCTAAAAAATAAATTAAATTTTTTGTCATTTTTTCCCTCTTTTAACAACCTTCCCTCATCCCCTCTCTACGTTGTGAAATTAGCTCATCGTTAAGCTCTTGTATTTAATCAGAGGGAAAATAACTTCCCCAACCAGACAGAGTAAAGCTAAAAAAATACGATGAAAATTTCTACGATCTGAGAGCATACTTAATTACCAATTATATTATGCCAGGGGGTGTGGCCGGTGTTACTGACAGCGTCTGCAAGTCCGTTTAAATGTCAAATCAAATTTCGTCGACCAAAACAACATTTGGCGATATGGAAATCGATAAAATTACTCTATAAAGGATGCTTTTTCAATAATTGGTACGACTTTTTTCGTCCATGTTAACGTTCAAATCTTTTGGCTTCAATTTTCGGTCTCCATTGCAGTAGATAATGTATCAGTGTATACCTTTGGTATATTGTGGTGACATCCTTCAGATCATGCTCTCCGTGCCAAATCTAAACAAAATGTAAATGGCTTTAGTAACCCCTACGGATTGTTAATATTTTTTATTTTTTTAGCAGAGATAGCTTGAATAGACTGAATAGGGTAAAGAAACAAAAAAGGGGTTCTATGAACGATGAAGATGACGCCTTACAGGTATCTCGTTATCTGGCTATTCAAAAATCTAATATGCTTGGAAAATCCCTGTAGGTGGTTGACTGCTTTTGTTCACCTTAGGAAAGGAAAACCTTTGTCTTTTTAATGCCAGACTGAAACAAAGAGAAATATGAAAGAAACAGAAAAAAACGCTTCCGATTTCGATTTTTGTACATGAAAAGCAAATTTCAACACTTGAGTGATTAGGACACTTGTTGATTGAAGAATCCCTTAAAAAATGTATATACCACTTCAAACCTTGGGCATGGATATAACTTTTATTAAGCTCAGCTTAGCTGATGAAACTTTTTAATTATTCCTACTCACAAAGCACTTCGCTGTTTTGTCCTTAATTATTTATCCCGTAGCTCAAAGTCGGATAGAATTAAAATTTAACTGTCTCGCCCATAGCAGCAAATAATAGTTATCATTATTTCGATCCGAAAACAGATCTCAAGTTTAAGATTTTACTCTAATACTCGAAAAGTATCAGAAACGTTAACTGGCTGCTTGACACGATCCCAGTAAAATGTTTTAAAAGTTTCTTTCAATCAACGTGCAGAGGTGTAGAGGCCATTTTTTGAGATCATTTTTTTTTTAGCTCGTGCTCCTTTCATTGACATACGCATTCAGCATGGCGCCGACCTCCTTTTTCATGCTTGTCACAGCGATAAATAATCGCACACAGCAACATCTTCGAATCGCTAAAAAATACTCACGCATTCCACTATCAACGAGAACCGGAATCTAGTCTCTTGAAACAGTCCACGGGGTGTCAAAAAAAAACCACAAAATATATATTTTTTTTCTACTGGGAATAATTTTAACAGGAAACGTTCAAATTTTTATTTGCTCCTAAGCTTGCATGACCATAAGAAATTCTAGGTGATAATCTAGTCAAATGATCTCGTGTCATGCACGTTAAGTTGCGTGTATGAAAAAGGGATCTTGTAGCAAAGTGTAGTTTATCCTCAAGCTTGAATCAACAGGTGCTGTGAAAAAAAAAAAAAAAAACAGACAAACAAAAAGACAAGCTTAAGTGATTCGCACGCTATAATTAAAGAGATGGATTGTTATTTATATCCAGGCTAGCTGTAAATAGCAAATGAAGCCTACGTTGTAGTCAAACAGTACAGCTGGTAAATGATATTCCTGAATACTTGTGTGGCCCGGTGTAGCCCAGGGAAGTTGTCTTTTCGCTACCAATGTTTTGACATTCGACAAGATGCCAACGACCTCCTTAAAATGGGAATTTCAAACTAATAGCAAAACGGTAAAGCGTCCAGCGAGCAATAAACGAAAAATATAGTCTACATTTACTTGCCAAGAAGGAAAAGGTTGATGTATCCAATGACAACGCGATATCAATAATTTATATGTAATCAATTTTGCTAATTTATGCAAATGAAGCGACTTGTGCGGTTCTACGCTTCTGATTGGCTCGCATTCAATACACAAAGTCTTTTCGTTCAGCTGTTATTCTGTCGCTTTTCTTTGTGATGAATATCCGGTGAATGGACAGAATAAAACCTTCAGAAAAAGACGAGCCGCAGAGGCTGACACAACCTTTATACTCGTTCTAAAGGAAGTTAAGACATAGGGAAGAAAATGTGGTGTTTTATTTCGGAGCCAAACGGGATAATTCACGAAATATTCCTTCCGAAGAATGCAGTAGGACAAGATTGTTTAGAGAAGGTGAGGAATTACAACTCAGCGACTCAAACTCCCATGAATATTCCCAAGACACCTGTACACGCGTTGAATTTTTCGCTCTCTTTTTAATCATTCGCTTTCCTTACACTAGTCTGGTAATTATTTTATTGTTTTCAATCTTCGCAGGTTTGCGAAAAGCTAAAACTCGTCGAAAGAGACTATTTTGGTTTGAAATTCGGTGGCGCGAAAGGAACACAGTTTTGGCTGAATTTGAGAAATTCTATGTCATCGCAGCTCACTGGGAAACCACCGTATCGACTGCATTTCTTGGTAAAATTTTTCGTCAAACCACAAGAACTTCAGCAAGAAATTACACGGTAAGCAAACCTGGTGAAAATTTGATGCATATTTTGCATTGGGTACCTGTCGAATAAACCGTGCTGAAATAAATACTCTTACCTCGGATGGTGTTTGTCCTGTAATTATTTTATCGGAAAAATATGTATTCTGTCATTTTCGTCTGTTTATCGCTATAACTGAAGTATGATTTTCTTTCACTTTCAGACACCAGTATTATCTTACTTTAAAGAACTTTATAAACGAAGGAAAGTTAGATTTGTCTTCCGTTCAAACGAAAACTATTGCCCGATTATGCGCTTTGGTTGCTCATATAGAGAGCGGAGATTTCAGCCAGGAGCGGGTGGCAAAATATTCATCGTATATTCCCATTTCTGTTTATAACGACTACGCCAAAACCTCCAACCTTCAAAAGGATGCAGCAATTGAACACAGCAAGTTAGTCGGCGTTCCCGTCAGCGAGTCAAAAATTGAATTCTTGCACATAGCTTGCAGTATTCACGGCTACGGGATTGAGTTATTTCACGGAAGATTGAGCGACGATAAAACGCTCAAGAAGGTAGAAATTCACGTTGGAAACGATGGTATACGTGTCTTCAGCATTAACCATGAATTCGATCTGAAACAAGGAAAAGACGTTACGAGAAGAATTCTCGAAAAAAGGTAAGCTTTTCTCTTTGTTGTGTAGAATTCGTTTGATATAGAAACAAAGATTTGGATGTGTGCGAAACTGGTTTCGATATAACTTGCCTTTTTTTAGTTAATTCTAACCTCTAACAAAAGCGTCATAAGTTTCAAGTCGGAGCAGAAGTATTGTTAACAACAGCTTTAATGTTGCCCTTAACTGCCTATCACGTATTATTTTTCTGGGGATTGCGGATAATTATCACAGGAAAATTTTAATGTCTTCAAGTTGAAGAAATTAACCTTTCGGTTGAAATTATTACTTGCTTTATTTATTTTTTTTTTTTATCTTTGCTTAAAGTAAATGCAAAATCTCCCCCATTTTAACAGGGAGATATCCTCTACTTCTCCCTAAACAGAATTTTTATCGTAACAAGTGAGGATTTACTTCCATATTCGTCGAAAGTAATCGAGACATGAATATATTTCGGAATCTTTTCTGGCTGTTTCTCGACATGATTTACTTTTCGAAATCTCGCGGCTGTAATGATTGAGTCCAATTTCGATTTCCTACCAGAGTAGAGATTCAAAGTCATGTTGTGAAATATAAGTGAAATGTTCAAGTGTTTATTTCGCGCTTGCCGACTGGCGGTGCAGGGAAGGGATATTACTTTTCTTGCATAATTTATTCCACAAGTCAAAACCGCAAACAGGACTTTTTCAGTAATGGGGATATTCTACCCTTTTTCCTCTTTTGTATTGAGGCTTTCTGAATAAAGCAACTTTTACATAGCTTTGTGGAATTTAGAACACAAGATTGTCCGCTAAAAATTTGTTCCTCTTTCAATATATTTAATTTAAATGCGTTTCTGTCTTCTCTGCGGCAGCTCATTCAGTAAAATACACAATTTCAACGACGACACAACAAGGAAAAGAATTCTCAACAGAACAGAATAGCAGGATGTCAGATATTCGATAGCACAGTTCGACTTCAGAAAAAACAACTGCGACAAGATGTTGACACACAGTAGTAACTGTGTCGTTATACAAGCAGATGCAATTTCTGCAAATAAATATGAGTGAAGCGGACTCAGATTACGTCTCTGATATTAAAATTTCTCCTTCGAACTACTAGTCAAATCAACTGCAAGTAAATAATAACGTTGAGAGTTTTATTAATCACCGCTTTTTTTTTAAATTTTACTTACATAAATTTTTGTTCTATTTTCGCAAGCGATTGTTTTGACACACTCTAACGTTGTTTGCCTTCATAATAATAATATTTCAACACAGCTGCTTGATGTAGCATGGCTGTCATTGCGCGCACTCGCGGTATTTTGTTATAACTCTCCCTTCGCTGCTCAACATCCGTTCATTTGTAAACTTTGGTGTGCGGCTGGCACGCCTCGCGATCACTGATTGCAAATGTCTTCCAAGAGTGATCTTGTCTCTGTTGTTAGTCATCTGTCGTTTTTAGCAAGGCCCGGTGCACCCCTTAGTGAAAAGACCCGTTTTGAAGTGCGAATGCCCAGTTAAAACGTTCAGTCTTAATCCCCTCACCTTCATTTTTGCTGACCATAGTTCTCCGATTAGACTCGGAAACGCCATCAGAGTAACTTCTTGTGACCCAAAACGAATAAATTAGAAAACGCTATTTTCCGTTTTTACTCTTTTGACGGATGTGATGTCATCGTTTCCTAAAAGCTCCCTCCGTCGTTTGCACCAAAATGACAAGCCTGTGTTGAACTTTTTAGCCCGTTTCAGAAAGGTTTGGTACATACCGAGTTGGTCCATATTTTAAAAACTTTTTAGCCGTTTTGGTTCGTTTAAAGTTTACCAGACTTACATTAGACATATTAAATACAACAGGAAAGAGAGGAGACCCGAGTCCACCAATCCAGAAGATTTAAGTGGATTAGTGTAGACGAGATATAACAGTTCATGTTGCACTCGCTTTATTTCGTGTCCTATGGCCAAGAAGGTTTTAACTTTTTTGCACTTGTAGAAATGGGCCTCGCGGTTACTTGGGGGAATGTAATTTTGGATATTGGCAGGAAGAGGAAAGATTGGTGACTCCCGTTTGATTCGTTGCATTTGTGCTGCGAAATGAATATAGTTCTGCAGAAATTATAAATTTAAGACGACAGGTGCAATGGTTATAGACCATGGCTTTACAGATTTACCATCAAATGTCCATGATTAGGGAAATAAAAAAGAAAAAGTGTTCCATATTGTGTTCTAGTTTCTTATTGTCATCGTCTCAATCTTCTACTTCGACCATTATCTTTCTTTACCGTTTTTTCTTTTATTTTGTTGTTTAAGATTTTCCAAAGCAATATTATGTGGTTTTTCTCACGTTAAAATATTAAATTCTGATGCCGCAATCGAAGACTCGAAATATCATGTCTTTTGCCTCTAAGAACCTCCTCTTGAAATAAAAAAACAGATGGGAATTTATTGTTTTTCCTTATTTGTTGTTCTTAGAATATTTTTCTACTAGAAAAGGTTCGTCTTCCTGTGTGGGTTGAAAGCATTTTAGAACCCTTATAACAGGTGTTGTCCGTTAGCGTTTTGTGACGTTTAGGAAAACTGTTCCCGAGTTTTCCTTGATATATGAATATTTATATTATTCATTTTCACATCCTATGTTGTCTGTGCAATTGTTAAACTGTAAACTCGTGGGATTCTTCACCGTTTTAACGAAAAAGGGAACAAACGGAACAATGGAAAATGTTGAACAATATACACGATTAGCGTAGTGAAGTGAGTAAGGTTTGGCCTAAGGGCGAAGTCTCTCGGGGCACAAAGAAGATATGAGAAATTGGTAAAGCCGGTGAATGATACAGATGTTTAATAAAATTGTGCGTGTCGTTTGACATGTGTTGCAGGGTTTCGTTTGAAGATGTCTCCACTGTATCCTACAACAATCGCTCATTTACTGTTGTCCACGGGGGAACTGGACCTCAGGCGCAGCGAGACACTTACAAGATGAAGTGCGAAAGCGATGCCGTAGCTTTATTCCGGACTTTTACGGAGTTCCATACGTTTTACCAGTGCAACACTGTCAAACGATCCGTTATTGATCAGTGTACAAGGACTCTAGCTGGTCGGCTGTTTTCCATGTTTGTACCGCGTAATGAGTTTGGTAGGATTTTCCTGTTCGACGTGCAGCGCACGCGTCGCCAAGCCTACAGTCACGCATGGGGTGAACTCAATTCGTGCCGCATGATTGACATGGCAAGTTCCACCTCTGGAAGTTTGCGTTCATCTCCTGGGTCAGCGGAGTACCGCCCAGTCCAGTCCCCTCTCTCTCAACGGAGATTTTACAGCACCAAGAGATATGATGAAGCAGGACCATCAAGGGGTGAATGCCGGAGAGCCTTTGTTGAGAGAGAGTCCATGGAGAACATGACTCCAGATCAACTCAAGGTTATGGTGCGACACCTACAGGACGCCAGAATCTGCCAGATCTGCATGGATAGTGAGGTTGCGACTGCCTTCTGCCCCTGCGGCCATGTGGTTTGTTGTGTGGAGTGTTCATCCATGTGTAAAGAGTGCCCATTATGTCGAAGTCAGATTACTTATGCTCAACGAGTCTTCTTTCCTTGTGAGTAAAAATGGTACAATGTATTGGTCCGGCAGCAAATGAAGTTCGTGACACTTACATGATCATACGGTCGATGATTTAATTCAATGGCCACAATGGGGCTGACATCATCAACTACACTACAGTAGTCTAGTATTATGTACGAAGTTTAAGTCTACCACGGAGTGTCAGTAAAAAGCCCAAACTAATTTTAAAGTTCAACTTTTTAACATTGCCGTGCCATTGCAAAGAACGTGGATTTTGCACTTAATTTTTGAGAAAATCGTTGTTTATTTCGGTTCAAGTAACGTCAATGATAGGTGAAAAGATCATGTTTAATACAACAAGAATTTCAAAATGTCCAAAGGACTTTGACGATTTCATTAGCCTTTTGAAAGAATTTCAGAAAAACGAGTTTAAGTTAAATGCATTCTGGCCGGACTTTAAGATCCTCGAGGAGATAAAAATTTAAGTTGTATATTAAATCACTTTTCTTAGTCAGATGATATAATTTAGTAAGATAACGTCAGTTGATTAGGAATTGGCTCTCGATCAACATTTATTAAGGTTTTGTACAAGCTAAGTGGCGTAATTTCATAATTAATGTAGATGTCAATATAAAGAATAGATAGATATTTCTTAATGTAATTAAAAAAATAATCTCAGTAGTTAAAGATGTAGCCAGTTAGCGAACTCTCACGTGAATGGTGGGGGCGTGAAAGAGGAAAGCGTAAAAGTTACTTAGAGGCTGCTAAAAACATGACTTTTTCAACTATTTTGGAACGATATTTAGTGAGAGAGGTGAACATCATGCCTTATTTGGAGGACTTAGAACAGAATTTAGTGAATTGGTAGCTGAGCTGTTGCACGAATATTGTGTTGCGATCTTTTACAAAATGGATTTAGGCATTCAGTTTTCTCAGTTGAAGTGAGTATGTGGTGGGGCAATTTAAAACTGCCTTTTTATGTGGACAGCGTACGAGTGCCTGTCGTTAAAGGAGCTTTATGATTTAAGTCGTTTTTGCGACAAATTAAAATTGCCTTTGTAGTGGGGTAGAAAAGCAAACGGCAAAAGTAGAAGCGGTGCCTTAGCACCTTTGGAGTTTGTATGGAACTCTTGCTTTATTGTTAGCTTCATTTTTGCGTAGAAAAGATTCATCTTTATATCAGTATGGCTATTTGTTTTGTTTTCTAAAAAAGGGTCAACATGTGACTCGCTAGTATGTACTATCGTTATTTATTTTGTGTTAAAGCACTTAAGGTGATTCCTCAGTATTGCACTGCGCATCCTGTACCGCGTCTAAAAATCACGTAATCAGACGATTAAGCGCGCACGCATTCTGAGAATACAGTATTGTTTTTCAATCGATAGACCAAGTAAAGAGGTACGCTGGTCTTTAGCTCTTGAACAAGAACGGTGACCTATATTTTTTTTATTGCATAATTTTGTGTACAAAATTATCTCCTTTAAATTGGGGAAATAAAAATTAAAATCATCAGGGGAAATAAGACAGAGCTAAAAGCGTTCAAGAAGACCGTCACGCGATGATGCAAACTTTAACCTTACACAAACGACTTCAGGAGCGCTTTGAGTCGATGTCGTCTAAAATCCGTGATTTTTCCACAAGTCTTCCACTTGAATAAGCCAGGGGACACTATGTTTTTAATTGTATAATTTCGAAACAGACATTGGTAGGGAATATTTAAGGAAAGTCTAAACAAAATTGTTCGATAACTTTTTTCCTGAGGAATCACCTTAAGTTTATTTAACAGTTTATATTGCTAGTAATTTAACGGACACTTGATATTGAAATACTTGTTGAGAGAGTTGCACTTTGAAGGTCAAGTACAGAGTAGGAAACTCTCCAATTTCTCACTTACTTTTTGAGTCTTCTAGTCCGATGAAATTTTTGAGTCTCTCAGTCCAGTTAGAATATGTAGATTTTTAAGAGAAATAATTCTAATTCCATAATAAAAGTGACGATGTGTTTATGTACTTTCTCTGATCTGAAACCTTTGCTATGCTGCGGTAGGGAATGGTCGGGGGAGGGTTTTTTTTCTCTCTTTTTTTTCTTTTTTTTTTTTTTTGGGGGGGGGGGGGGAGTATAAACATGGCATGATACCAGAGATGGTTCATTATTGCAAGACTTTCCAGCTCAAGGTAATCCGCAGAAGATAAATTAAAGGTGATTAGCCTTTGAATTGTTTTCACTTAAGTTTGGGAACTTTTAAAAAAATCAAGCTGTATTTTTTCGAATTCAGTCAGCAATGAACCTCTTTGGTGCACTTTTCTTATATAGAGTGCTGTATCTGAAATTGATTAACGACCAAGTAAACGAACTGATTTTATGCGAATGAGAGTTTTGTGGAAAGCCCTCGTAGAATCCTTTTTCCACTCTTCAATGCAACAAAATGATTGACAATTATCGGGTGAGGATGAAAGAGCTACGAAAAACGACTTATCATTAGCAGGCAGATCAAATACCATGTACGAGACACAAGCTTACTCGAGGACTAGCTTGAAATGGCAAGTGTTCAAGGAAAAGCTACCGCGTGGACACTGGAAACTAAGATGGCGGACAGGTAACGTAGAAGATAAAAGATGACTTGGTCGTAAGTTAGAGATTAGCGATGGGACAAGATCAAAGCAGTGGCTTTCCAGGTCAGATGGGCCATCCAAATATTCCTGCTTCCGCACATTCCGTAGGGAAAGTTAAAGATGACGATGGAAAATCGAAATCCAAACAGAGAGCGAAATTGGAAGACATCATGGTCGTGAATGCCCCAACAGGAAAGACAAAGCTTGTTTCCAAAAATGAAGATCACGATATAAAGAATTTGAACGAATTACCTTACTTTCTACCACTGCTGAGAAGCACTGTCAATGTTCCTGCGAGCAGAGACTTAGATTTCTTGGATAAATTCGATTTGCGTCCTTGCTTGTCGTTGTGTTCGCGCTACGAGAAACATTTGAAACAGTGCGCTGAAGCTGTATCGTTTGATCAACATATGCTGTCATCACAGATTCGAGAAATGGATACATACTGTGCCTCAGTTCTACGAAGAGTGAACGACAGATATAAAAGATTGTCTCAGGTAGCGATGCAGATGAAAAAAGTCGAAGAAATGAATACAAATTTGAGGAGAATTGATGCTAATCTTAAGCGCCTTGTTCCAATGATGGAAAGACTAAATAACGTTTTACCCGATGAAGAACGCCTCGAGGAGTTTGCTTTATCTCCATATAGTATACAACGATGATACCGAGACCTATTGTGGCTAAAGGCAACGTACATGTAATTTTAGCCTTTATTTCAGCTTTAAAGCACCTAGCCACCTATCTTTATCTCATTATCTAATGTGCTGTTCCTTGTCCCTCAAACTTTACAGACAAGTTTGAACTCAATTCTGCTATGTTCTATTTAATATTATACAGTGAGCTAAGTTACCCATGCAGTTTGATTGCTGTTACAATATATTGGAGTACAGACACGTAGATGACTTCATTAGTGACAGTTTCTGGCTTCTTTATCACATAAAACGAATAGATTCCATGTTGCCCTGCATCTGTAGATTGAAATGTGTTAACCCTTTAACTCCCAGAAGTGATTCACAAGTAACTTCTCCCTCTAATATCCATGCATTATCCAGCAAACTTATTAGGTTGGAGTTCTTTTCTAGATAAAACATCAAATTCTCATAACTGATTTCCAAGGAAATGTGTAGCAGTTTAAGGGGAAAATTCTCAATTGGATCTTGGGAGTCAATGGTTGAGAACTAAAAAGTGGCACATGAGGCACAGCTAAGTGTCATTGTTCCTACCACATTCTGATATCGTGTGATCTGTTACCAAACAGACACACGCCAACATGAAATCTATAATTTTTGTTAAACTGATGCTCCAAGCTCTAGCTCCCAAAAGGGCTGATGACCTGAGGTGAAGACTCAAATGACAATGAGAGGCTTAAAATAGTTGGTTTGTGAATTGAAGAGTGGATCACCTCTGAAGCCTCTTCTTGCTCTGTGGTAAAGTCAACTTAATAGTTATCTGACAACATCTTTTTTTAGCTTCTCTTTGTTTTTTCCTTTGGATATGTGCACCTCTAGTCATTTCATTTTTCACAATGTTTTGAATCCTAAGATACAACCTTCTCCTGGTTCCCATTAAATCTGAAATCTATTTTTTCCATGAAGATTTAATTTTAATGTACAAAAAGGCTACTGTAAGTTTCTAAAGAAACTGGTGCTGGTTGGTGCAGGCATCTTGCTATACTTGGAGGGACTTGATTAAATGTTACTCAAAAGAATCTCTTAATTACTAAACTTCAAACAACAAGAAATAGTACAAAAAGCTTTTGTAGGATATCTACCAAATTTGTGATTCCACTGGGAGGATTACTGGCAGAATTATACTACATATGGGGTATTTTCACACAATAGGATGCATTTGCTAATCTTTATTATAAGATCTTCCAAGAGAGACTCAGCTCGAGACGCTACACAGTTTTATATGCAATTAGTAAGTGCAAGGAAAAACTGTTCAAACTATTTAAATATTCAAGGCACTAAAAACTAATTCTAAATGGGCTGTACAAACATTGATGACTGAGGACCACTGACTGGGGCAGAGAGTGAAAGGAAAATAGAGTTCAGAGGTCAATTTGTAAAATATAAATAAATGCTTTCTTGCTCTCAATTGGCCTCAAAGATCATCGAAGGAAACTAAATAATACATGTATCTCTTGTCTGAGGCTTGACTTTAACGTGATTTCAAGTTGTGAAGCTCAACCATGAAGCTGGCAAAATGAACATGTTTTAGTAATAACTGTATGTGGTAAGAATTTTTAACTCCTTGAGAATTTCTTTGACCCTTAATAATGGGGCATAGCTAAGACTACAATTCCCTTGTTTGTCTGAGTTAAATCTTCATTCCTCCTCTGGTGAATTATCAGGGGAGGGAGGAGGGAGGACATAATCTTTAGTGAATTAGAAAAATAGATGTCTTAAATGGGTTAGCCTTTGTTGCAGACAGCCTCTGCCTCTCAATCCAGGTTCAGAATAACACATGGCAGAAATGCAAGCTACAACGGTTATGCTCCCCAGGTTTTGAGGATGATGAAATTCCCCCCTTTTTTTTTCAGTGCACTCTTTTCTGTTGACGACTCCTGTAGATGTCATTCTCAGGTGGTGCAGCAGAACTCTCATCATCACTTTCATGATCAGCCCCAGGTCTTTTGACACCCCGTTTGTTTTGATCAACTTCTATTCCATCTTCACCACCCTCAACACCGTTCAGTGGACCCATCTCAGTGTCTGGTAAACCTGCAGTAATTAGAAAGCATTACAGCGTAACATGATGCATCAATCAATTCAAAGCATAAACATACCCCTCCTCTCCCCTGCACATTTGAACTTTTGAAGATTGGTTCCTTTGAATTCCAAGATTTTTTATGATAACTTTTTGTAAAAGGGAAGGAAGTGAATTCTTTACCTTACAACACCTCTGTTTTAAAAGATAAAACAAATTTGCTGTGCTGAACATACTTGAAAATTTGTATTCAAATTTCCCACCCCCAGGTACAGACAACAATCAAATACCCATGGGTTGCCCAAGGGGGGTAGGGGGATATCAACGCTTTGAACTGAGCAGCACGCAACTCACAATACATGCAATGTCTGATTTACGCCACTTGCATGGCAATTTTCCTATGGAGATCTGAGCAAGGCAAATTTGCCTTTATTTTCACATACATCAAAGAAGTTTTTGAGACAACTTATGTTAAAACTGACTAAAGCAACTAACAGTATAAAGCAAAAAAAAAGGGAGATATCAAGTGAAGAAAATGTTATCTGAAATTTAACTCAGCAATACCCTCTCATTTGAAACATGTATTACACTGTATCAAGGTCACATAAGCCAAAGTTTTCACCAACCTGAAGGCGCTGGTTCTGGTATTTCAGACTCTAAAGTTAACTGAATGAAGTCATCAACCATTACAAATGGACCCTATATATACAACAAAAATAAAGGGTGAGACCAGCTGAGTGGCACAGCTAATTTCTGAGAAAATCACAAAGTGCAGTGACCATGGCAAGTGGCAACAGAAACAAAGGAAGACACAAGGTAAGTAAAGGTCTATTAATTACATTGTCAGGTGATGATCTGTTCAAGAGGGAGTAATCAGAATACCCCAAACCATAAAATGTTTTGACCCAATCTCTAAATTCCTTGGCTGAAAGGCCAACCGAGGAATGACCAGGATACAATCCACAATCTGAACTTCTCAACAGAATATGGAATCTTGGCCCAAAAGTTAAGCCAGTTTGCAAACCTAATAAATTTTTGAATCCACAAATCCGCTTAACTTTGACAAAATTCCACAACCAGTGAGTTTTTAAGGCTAGATCCCTGATCTGCTGATCTATTCTGCCTCTTTAGTAAACCATGTATGACAAAGAGGGCACCACTGTTCCTACCAAATTGGTGAGAGGAAAGTGCTCCAGCCCTTAAAGTTAATTAATATAGCACTGGTATTTCTCACAATGTCTACAAAAAGTCATGTCAGATTTTCACAGTGCAACAAAACACCTCCAACATTAAAACAGTGTTGTTGCATTGAAAATAGCCATTTGAAAGTCATTTGTCACTTAAGAAAAATTTCAGACCATGATGAGGATAAAACCTGTTTATAAATTTACTTGAAATTAACATCTGCACAAGGTAACTGTAATTCCAGGAATGACTACCTCATTCAAACAGATTGACATTTCCCTCAGCCAAACAATTTAATCCTGGACATGTCTTCCTTAATCAAACCATGCGATATTGTTTAATTGAATCAGTTCCCTAATGATTTCCATAACTCAAACTAGGTTAAGCATGACGAATATAAGGGGGTAAGTTTCTAAAGAAACTGAGCTGCTACATTGGTGGGAGAGTATAACAGGGTAATTTGGTATTATTGACTATGTTGATAATGTAAATTGGCCACCATTAAGTGTTTCAAAGCTGATGTTTCAAGCATTAGCCCTTTCTCAGAGCAAATGGAGGAATTGTGGGTTGTTTGAGCATTTATATGTAGAAAATAGAGCCATGTTATTGGTTGGGCTGTGGCCAACTAGTCTGCAATACACTACCTGGAAGCAAGATGGAGGAGGTAAAAGAGTCATAAGATGTGCTGCCACAGGTGGAACTGGAAAAACTCCCCCTGGTACTGAGTGAAGCCCAACTGCAAAGCAATAAACAATTATTTGATGAGGTTCAGCATGATATCATGCAAAACCAAACTCAATAATTTTTTTTGGTGTTAAGTGTTCAGTTACTTTGAGTTCCTCTCTGAGTTTGCAAAAGTTTGAGAACACTGTACATAGATGAGGGGCTTGGAAACTAGGCAAACTTTGAACTCAACATGATAAATGCAATATCCAGTGCAGATGTTGCATTTATCATGTCAAATTCACATGCTATTGTATATTGATTGAATATTTTGGCCAATCAGATAATTCATAGTAAGTGTAATGTATAATAATAGGGATTATTCATGTACTGACTATTATTTCATGAGAAAAAACTATCCAAGATAATCACAAAATACATATTGTTTTCCTAGCTCCTAACTGCCTCTCCCCCCACTTCCCCTCATGCATTGCAGCTCACACTGCACCTTGTGTAAGCCATTTAATGACTACATTGTAATAAATTGATCAAAAGATTAAGAGCTGGTCACAAACAATCTTAGTGGAATAACGATACTGAATGGCTGCCATATGTCACTTTGTAATACTGGTGGTGTGCAGTAGGTATGAACGTCACAGCTTTAATGATCTTGGCTTGTAAAGACCATAATAAAGAGCAATACAAATATGGCTAAAAAATAAGTCAGAAGTCCTAAGAGAAACTGAATTTGTTGATGGAGTGCCATTGTGACATGATGCATAACTTAAATGAAAATCCAATGAGTTGAAAGCCTCTAGAGTCATTCTGCAATATGTGACTTTGTTAATCTAACCACCCCATTGATTGAATCAAATCAAAATTTGTTGGCCCAAAACTGGATCATGGTAAATCAGAGTTCCACAGACTCATGTAAATAAGACTTCAATTTCATCACAATCCTAAATTTTCAAATCTAAATTAAAGACTTTGAGTAAACTCTTACCAGCTCCTGCAGCTGGTTTAAATGGTGTCATCTGTGATGTGTCTGGCCGAGGATATTTCACCGGTTTTTCTTCATTCTGTTCACTTTGAGAAGGAACAGAGGACAGCATGCTTGGTGCATTGCCATTCTGTTTTGTTGAGCCCTTAAGTTTAAAATGTTTGAAAATCAAATGTTAGCATTGGACTCAAGATTTTGATCCAACAATCAAAACAAACAGGACATCAACATTTTATTTTGGTTTTCACCCCGAGTTACAAGGTTACTGTAAAATAATTACAAAGTTGATACTTTTTGATGCAGGCACCATAGTAGGAAGAGATTTCTAGGAAAATGACTCTTACCACATAGCCCATTATTTTTAGTTCCAAAGAAGTACAAGGAAAAAGGTCTAAGTATTTATATCTGTCAACAAGCACTGATGTTTCATGCCCTTCCAGTTCCTGTAAAAAGAAAATTTAAAAAATAGACCGTGAGTAAAATTGAAAGAACAACCAGAATCCAGATTTATATGCATTTGCTTTTGGCTGTGCAAAGTGACATGCAGAAAAGAGCAGAGTACATATTGTAGCTTAAAATAATTAAGTAGGTTTCAGATTAAAATTAATTTAACTTCGCTTTATTTGATTTTTGAATGACTAAGGTCTGTCAGATGGTAATCAATGTACTGGGAACAAACAATTTAAGTACATCATTTACATAGTTTTTATAATAATACATGTTTCATGTGCAAGGAAAAGTAAGGAAATACTCATAGGCCCATGAAGTCTGACAGCTAGCCTTAGCTTACCTCTCGATAGATTTCAAGTTTCCTGTTCTCTACTTTTACTAAGCTGGCCAAGTCACCACTTGTGGTTTCGAATTCCAAGAATTTCCCCCAAACTTCACTAACAATGTGTAAATAAACAAATACATCAACTTGAATTTTATTAGAAGTATTGCATTAACAATCTCCCGCAAAGTAACTGGAGGGGGGATTTTCACTGCAGTTAAAACTGTGACAAACCTTGCTTTGTCTTTGGGCATGGAACTCAGAACTTTCTCAAACAGTACTCTTGTGTTGTTATCATCTAAAACAAAAAGAGACACATCAAATTGGATAAAACAATCTCATTAGTATGCCCTAAATAACCTTTTCCTTTTGTTAAAAATTGACATAACACATTCAGCATTATTAATAAAATGATGTCGTTTTAACTGTTCAACACCCAGAAGTGATTAAAGTGCAGCCTCTCCCTATAATATCCATGGATACACTATTGAGCAAAAGGGTAATGAAAATACTCAAAGTTATCACTAAGTAGAAGTTGCTATCTTAATCTCGCACAAATTTCTTGTAACTAATTCACAAGGAAATGTGTAGTGGCTGAAAGAGAGAATTAAGAATCAAATCTTGGGAGTTAAAAAGTTAATTGGAGTGCTTAACTTACCATTTAAATGTGATAGATAATCAACATAAGCCAGTACATAGTCTGTTTCATTCATATATTTCTGAAAAGGAAGCACAGATATTCAAAGCCATTTGTGTGAAAAACAATAAAGCAACCTACATGCTGACCAGCATTTGACTGAGCCACACTTTCAATTGGTAATTCATCAGTGTCAGATCAAAACAAAATTTGTCTGCATGCATTTGATTGCCAGCCTTACCTTCAAGCCCAGCTCAAAGATCTTAAATGCCACTGCTTTGTCCTGGAACAAAATTGAAAGCCCAGTTCAGCTAGTAGCAATTAGAAACTTTGCATTTGCTATTGAAATAATTTCACAAATAACTTTTGAATAATTTACAAACAGGACTTACTTTACTGCAGTAGTACTCCATGAGGGCAGCAGATATAAACACCTAACAGCAAATTACCAGACAATCAAAAAAGTGAGTATCCCATGAAACAAATATTGGGACCGGTGGTATTTAAATTATTCAATATAAAATAAAATAACATGTCACCTATCTAGATTTTGCATGAATGTCTGTAAGTTAGATTTAATGTTGGATTGGGAAAGGGTACATGCATGGTTCCTCAGATACTTCAACATTGATCCAAGATTTCTCATTCATCACTGAAGGAGTATTAATTAATTACTTTTTCTACACCTACATGAAAGTTTGTTCTTGAATCCTCTCTTGCTTTCTTAAAAATTGCTCTGCTTTCTTTGACACTCTCAGACCTTCTTGCAAATTTCATGAATTGAATATAAACCTGGGAGAAAAATATAATAATAATGATAATCCACTGGAAATTCCACTGTTAACTTAACTAGCACCAACACCTTGGTAATTGTTTCAATGGATAATTATAATCTAGCCCAAGATAAAGTTTTTGTCTATCTAGGTTCATCAAAGTACAAATTTGTTTGTTTCTTCAAACACTACCCACTTTTTTTATACTTTGATCTTTCAATTTATTTACTATAATCAGATTAGGGAGATCAAATTAAAACAATACTACCCCTAACCCTACACAAATTATACTCACCAAAGTTGGGTCAATATCCTCAAGTGCTAAGTATTTTTCATAAATTTCCTTTGCCTTCTGGAACTTCATTCTCCCCTATCCAAGCAGAGAAAACACAATGAAAATAACAGTTCATGACCACCACTACTAGTACTGTGTATTATGGAAATACTGTGTTTTCTCAAACAAGTACCCCTCCTCTGATAAGCACCCTCCCCCAAAATATGTGCCCACCCCAACAAGCACCTCTCACAAATACCCCCCCCCCTCCCTCCACTCCCATCTCACCATCCTAAATAGTAGGGATACAAGGAAAACCTGTTTCTATTGCCACTTTATTATAACTATTAGGCTTCAACAACAGCAGAATCAGTACAAGAGAATAATTAGCAACCCTCTTTACAAAGCACCCACCTATCAATAAGTGATCTTTCTCTCTGCTGAAATTTGAAATAAGTGCCTTGCAGGAACTCATTCAAGGACTTATAGTGGTTTTTCTAAAAGTCATATTGTCAAGTAACTTTTTTTTTTACCTCTTCAAAGTCAGCATATGCAAAATACAATAGCATGCTGTGTTTCATGATCCCTGTGATGGCTCTTTCATACATGGCAGCAGTCTCATCTCCAAGTACTTTAGATCCCTGCATGTCCTGTAATTCCAAAAACATAAATTACAGAGAAATTAATTGATGCTTCAAAGGCAAAAACAAATAATGTCAAATCAGCATTTTAAATCAACTGGTTTAACAACAAATTTAGAGAAAATTCTGTAAGTAGGGAGATAAAAAATGGGAATTAAGAGAAAAACCAAGAATTTCAGGAGTACACTGTGAGCAAAGAATAACCAGTCAAGCCCCAAGTCAGAGTAGTTTACTTGAACTAATATTAAATGAAAACTTGTCTTTCTATAGTTTGACCAAACCCTTCATCCCACCCAAAGCCAAGTTTCAGACCTGCAAGCTTCAAGTGACTACAGGATAGCTAACCTAGAGGGGATATGAACATCATCAATTGGGTAAGTTTGATATGAAGAAAACTCCAAAACAATGGAGGAAGTAAAGTCAATTTACCCCCTTATCCATCAACTTCTGACTGACTTTTTCCAAGTACAATGATGCCTCACACCAGATGTTTGGATGAAACCCCATTGTCTGCAAGCACTGTTCATATGAATACACAACTGCAAAAGCACAGAGTGATGCTTCATATCAATAAACATTAAGGTATGAAAACAGTACCATTTCCTTAGTCAAGCTGGGACACTACTGAACCTAATAAATATACATGCCAACTAACTCTCACATCTTATTCAGGAGTACCATGCCAACAGAATGAAATCACCAGTCTCATAAACCTGGCACTACCTGTACATTGTGCCAGCAAATAAGAGTTTTAAGTCCAATGGCTTGCAGCCAGGATCAGGTTTGGTAAATAATTACAGCAATTTCAAACTACACAACAATTTCTAAATACACCTTCTTTCTCAATTTGAAAAGGTTTTTAGCTAACCAAGGTATGCCTGTCGGACAAAGCTCAAAAGACTTATTTCACCCACCAAAATTGGTAGTCAGGAGAAAATTTCGAGAGAGAGTTTTTCGTTCCACCAGCAATTTTCTGTTGTTTGTTTTTCAGCCAAAAAATGCCCAAAAATGTTAGAAAAATACAATAGACTAGATTCTGTTTGTTATGCACAATCCAATCAAAAATAATAACTATGCCAAATGTGTCTTCTCTGGTGAGGTATGTAGGAGATAGCAAGCTAGTGTTTCCACTACAGTGGTAGAGATAAAGTTAACTGTAACCCTATAGCATTTACAGAATCACTTTTTAAGTATTACCTCTCTTAGTAAGAAGGGCAGTGTCTTCTGTCCTCAGTGGGTTACTCTTTTCCCAAGCAATATACTTCTTCCATATTTGTAGCTGGCCATTGAATAAAAAAAAATTAAAATCACTCCTGCTGCCAATCAATTGTTACAGTTGTGTTGAATCGAAAGAAGTTGTAATTTGTAAAGGTTGAAGTCAAAGATATGTCCAAGAGAAACCAAGATCCAGACAATTTATCTATACCGGTACCTGTTTAATTTCATCAGCAGTTCCCTGAACAGGAACTGAAGGGTTTCCTCTGACCAGTCCTCTGGTAATGGCTTCATACTCCTGTAAAGAAAGGAAACTCATTCAGACTTCAATTTGATGAACAAGTCTTGAAAGTACATTGTGTCACCAAGAAAATGTTTGTTCCCTTGGGACTGGAAAAAAAGAGGTTGAAAACTTTCAGTGTGTATTTCCATTTGCTGCAGTTAAATGACCACAATTTAAAGGAATTAAAGAAAATACAAATCAACCTGATTTGAAATCATTTATACCTGAAATCCATTTTACAGGAACTGGAGCAGACCAGAGAGGGAGGCTTCAATTCCAAACCAAGTTTGTACTGGAAGTTATGTCCCTTAAATCTGTACTTTATGTATTTTGTACAATATTGTCATCAATATTAATGTTTTCCTTTAACTTAATGTTACTTTAGGAAGGTAGTTGTTTACCTTTGAAACTCTCCTGGCATTCATGTAATCTCTTGTTTTATCATCAATCAGTTTCTTTGCTAACAGCTTGTTTACACTCTGAAATGTAAACAAGATTGGGCGGTTGTAAAATTTACGATAATTTTCTAAAATTTGTATGTATTCTATTGTGCATTTAGAACTGAGATGTCAACATAAAAATGTTTCTCTTTCTTATGGATAATATCTATGAATACTGATTTTAAAAAAAACACAGTCAGATGACTAGCTCATAAAATGAGGACCAGAGGTTCAGACAATACCTTTAACCAATAAAAATCATATCTACCTGTTCAAAAGCATTATATTCCCTCCAAAGTGCCTCCAAATTAATGATAGGAGTCACCACAGCTCTCTATAAAGAAAAGCACTCAATTTGATAGTGATACTTGAAAAGGTGTTTTTTTAATTCTTGGAAAGAGTCAGTATCAAGAATGAGAGCTCCCCATGGAATGTTGTGGCAGCAGTGAAGTGTTACATAAGTTACCTGATAAACTTTTCTAATGTTGATTATCTTGCGGTTTTCTGCATAACTGCCAACTGCTTCACTGAAATTAAAACAATTGGAAGAACGCATTTACAAATTTTAAGCACTTAATATAAGCCAATATAAGACAAAGTGAAAAAGAAGCCATGTGTCTGGTAACTTTTCTATCAATTATATACCTACCCTGACTTCAAAAAATTGACATAATCCAACCAAATCTATGAAAAAAGTGACAAATCAAAACCAAAACAAGAATTATCAGATAGATAGAAAGAAAAATCCAAGAACAATATCCTTTGTATTTAATAAAATTATTATGTTATTCCCCTTAACAAATGAAAAAAATGTATTAAGTTGTTTCACTTTGTGCATGTGTGCGTTTAGCCTACATGTGAATATGAAAACTGCTGGAATATCTATCATGGTCTTGATTGACAGGAACATGCCTGTTCATGTCAAAATATACCATTTATGGGAAAATAGCAAGAAAAAAAAAAAGCACACTTTTTCATTTTTTTTTGCTTTGTGCATAAATTATGTGTAATTAACCTGCACATGGAATTTGAGTTTTGAGTTCACAAAGACATGTTTTTTGGAAAAAGTTCTGTTTATTGTACGGATACTGCTATTCTTTACTGAGATAGATTAAACCTTCAACATACCCTAGACAAACATATTATCAATAAAACAACCAGGTAAAAAAAAATCAATATAAGATGTATTGCAATATTATATCGACTGACTTGGTAAGAGTTGAAGTCTACTCCAACTTTATCCAGGGCAAATTCATAAGCTTGCTGCATTTTATCTCTGTAAAGTAAAGACCACACCTTTAGCACAAAGGGCTCTACCAGCTGAGGCTGAAAATGTACTGATTAGCAAGAAAAAGAAGGAATACAATGTACTAGCAACAGCAAAACCTTTAATATGTAGATTTCCAATTAAAAGTGAAATTCTGCATAAAGCAAACACTGGCTCAATTAGTCTCACAACTTTCCTCCTTAATACTGGAGTTGACAATTAATCTATCCCACTGTTGGTTGAAAATGGAGTGAGGGGTCATAGCCAGGTGCAAGGGATCACGCAATGAGATTTAAGGTTAAAGATTAAAAACCCCAACAATGAAAAATTAAAAGAGAGTTCAAAGAAAACAGGAGTGGAACTGGTGATGAGCTATTGACAAGATGGAAAGAGGTAAATTATATGGTAGAGCTTTGTTAATTCAGGACAGATGTCTGGTCCTGCACTTCTTAACCCTTCCACCACTTCCTTTTAGAGCACATTTGTTGTTATTTACCAACACCTCAAGTGTAACTCAAGCTAGCCTGTGTCTTGAGCTTGTTTCTCAGGGCAGTTTTAGTTCATGCACACAGGGTTCTACTGGACTGCTGAGTAACAAGTTCAGTGTTGGCTACATCCTCTCCTGTTTGTTTGTGATTAACTATCACTTTTAACAAAGAAAACTAACCCATTCTTCCCTCATCCACCCAAAAGGCCCTAAATTCCTTTGATGGTTTTTCCCAAGACTACCAGTAAAACAAGCAACTCTTGCTCTAAAGTAAATTTAATAATACTCTTCCTGGATTTTCTTTGTAATTTCACCAAAACTCAAGTCCTTCTTGTTTGGAAAGAAATTGATCATGAAAATTATTTTGAATTCCCTGTTTGATATTTAAAATCATTTCTGCCCATCCTTTGAGTACCTATCACTCTCCATATATAACACTGACTGACTGCTCCTAATGGTTAGAGTTATTTGGAATCAAATGCAGAAGTTCTATGGATTTAAATTAAATCCATAGAATCTCAGCAGTTGATTCCATCTAACTTCTCCTTTCGGTAATACTGCTAAATTATTCATTAAGATCATGAGAATAAAGAAATTAATCACGAACCTAAGATGCTTTAATTGATAGATGAACTCTTCATGTCAGTACCAAAGGAAAAGTGGAGAGAAGGGTTTTGGGAAATATGGTTACTGATGTTATGGTGTAAAGGGTTATTTCCTTTAGCTTCAACCAAATAAAAATTTCTTTAATGAAATTGAAATGCATGCCTACCTAAAATTTTGAAGAGAGCTTTTAGTCTCCTTTACATATGACAGGTAACACTTCCAGAGATCAATGTTTAACACCTTGATCAAGCATTTCTGGAAGAGCTGAAATAACAAGAGTCAAGAGAAAACAGGTGTAATAAATAAGAAAAGGCCAGCTTACTGAGTTATCTATGCAAACAATTATTGATATTTGAAATATCTCACAGAATCATTTTTTCCTAACTGGCTCAATAGAGGTAGAAGTAACTGACACTTCAAAGGTATACATCAACATAGTGGTGTCTTTCCAACAAAAATCTCAGTTGAAATCATCACAACACGCAGCTTTATAAAGGAATACAATACAACATCACCCATCTTATAGTCCCAGATGGATGCCTCCACTGCTGGACAAATTGTTGTTTACCACTACAAAAATGATTTGAAATATGAAGTTCCTTAACAGAATGCACCAAAACTGACCAAATTTAAGCTATCTTAGAAGTTTGTTTGAATTTTTTGCGAGGCACAAGTATGGATTGTATGATATCATATTTCATGTCTTATCATAATCAAAAGTGGCTCTTTTATTTCCATGAGCACCAAGGAGATAACACAAATTGTAGTGGTCACTGTTAAATGCCATACAATCCAAGATAGGGGTGAACAAAACATTCCAGCTTCAAATAAAATAAGTCATCTATTTCAATTTTCTATTGCTGTAAACAATTCATTTCTACTTGTGTAGACAAATTTTAAATTGGGTTCAAATCCCATACAGGCCCGAATTTTTTTTCAGGCCCTTTTTCCACTACTGCTCAAGTAGTGTTCATTACTGCAAGGATCAAATTTTAACTGTGAGGATTATTTTTTTATTCTATCAATATGTTCTAACAGTGGAGGTCTCCTTTCACCCTTTAACTCCCAAGATCTCATTAGTAGTTCTCCTTACTGTCTACCATAAAAATTCTCACGATGTTAGTTCTAAATCCCCTATTTGATATTTTGTCCTAATGGCTTTTTTCTCATCACTTGTCTGCTTTAAAATGCATTACCATTATAAGGAGAACTACTGTCTTGATCAGTTAGTTGAAGACTTAAAAGTTAGGTCCCCCTTCCCTCAAGTTCTTAAATGCCCCTTTCCACATCCTCCCGGTAATCGAAACCTGAAGCAGATTTAGCGTTGACTGAGTACAGCGGAATGAGATTGAAGTTTTCCCATATTTCACAGGTTGTAGAACAAAGAAATTTATCACTGCCATTGGAATCAACCACAACTGATAATTAAGAAGAAAAAGGGTGATTTGCATTTCAGATCTCTACAAAGTACTATGATTACCAGTTGAGTAAGGCATGGACAAGGTTTGGCAAAGGTTTTGACCATAAAATAATGGTGTTGTCACAGGCAACCTCTGGCCCTAGCTCATTTCCAATGGTTAACCAAGTCTCAAAAGCCTGCCAAAAGAAGTCAATCAACTTGTTGCCATTGGAAATGGTGCCAGTTGCCTGTGACAACACCACAATTTTATAGTCAAAATGTGGTCACCAAACTTGCGTTTCATCTTGTTCAACTGAAAATCATATTAACTCCTTCAAAGCCAAGAACATTAACCTGTCTCAGTTAGGTCTATCAAAAAAAGATTATTCTAGTACCTTTTCTACTTGTTCATAGTTCTTATGTTTCATCTGAAAGAAAATCAACCATGAAGACTTCACTCAAAACATTCTTAAACTAATTTGACAAAATAAGATGTGCACATCTCCATATTGATACTAAGTGATCTAACCAAACTTGAGTAACATTCTCTTACCCAAAATCAAATTATGAATACTTTGGACAGTACAAATGCCTAACAGTGGCACAATGCATTTCCTATTGCCAATTTTGATAGACACAAAGAGCTAATTTGAAGACTTTTACAGATGTTTGACATGGACAAATTTATTTTGTTCCAAACCAGTTTCAGCTTTAAGAGCAGGGACCTGTTTCTTGAAGGTCCCAGTAACTTATTTAATGGGTCTGTATAGCTGTTCTGTCTTCATTCACAAATGGGGTTTCAACAGCTTTGAAAATTGTACAATAAAACTTTCAGCCAAAGAAACAAAATGTATTGCTTAGGGGGCTAGAACCTGCTCCTCTTTTCTTTAAATTTTCATTTTAAAATATGGTTTCAGGCCTGTTAAGCCACCAGGACTTTCAAGAAACAGGCCCCATGCACATAAAAAAATGGTTTCGAAATACATTTCTCACTAGTACCCTTGATAGGGGAAAAATACAGGAACTGATGCAGATTGATCCTTAAAAATCAAGATATTCAGCCATTATATGCTGCAGTTTAAAACATTCAAAGGATCTCTTGGAATAGTGTCAAGGATTGTTTGAAGTAAATATTAAATGTTTTTCTGTTAGCCATCAACCCTCTTGACACTTCTCAAATCCATGTTTAAATCAAACCCTTGGATATATTAAAACTGATTCAAAAGAAGGTTTTGCCAAACAACAGTTGTTTTTATATTCAGCCTTCATTGTTTGGGGACTATTCTTCATTATTCTTGGCAAGGAAGAGACAAGTGACAGTGCTCAAGTGAAGTTTGGAGGCACCTTAAATTTTGGCATGGAAAAGGGCATCAGTTCTTCACTGCAAGAGTATCAAACTTACAACCAACTAATTTCCACTTATCTTACATAACAGTTTGGCTTCAAATGGAGCTAAGATTTACTAGGTAGCCAATATGCTTTACAAGCACACCACTGCACACAATTTGTGCGAAGGGAGCAAGGAGGTAAATTAACACTATAATTTGTTTTAAGCATACAAGAATTGGGGTTTTTAGCAACAAACCAATATGGAAGAATCTGTTTCCACTTGGTTAACCTCTGTCCCCCATTCCATCACAGCCCCCTCCCTTATATGAGTAGTGGAAAAAATACCCTTGATGGAGGGAAGGGGGGCAAGATGAGGAACAACTTAGATTTGTCCACCTTGAAATTAATCAAGATTTTTAAAAACACAGCAGTCTAGGATAATAATTATGTTTGAAAAGTGTAATTATCCTAGTTAATAACCCCAATATTCTGCATTTTCAACTCTTTCCAAAATAGAAAACTGAATTTGCCTTCTTAAATATAAATCGGAAGCTTGTCAAATTGGTAATGGAAAAAAAGTCCTAAGAGTTCACAGATTCCATTTCTTGATTTGTGTTTGTCATTATGGGAGGTTCCAGTACCATAAATAATTGTTTGGTGTTGGAGTCATCCAAGCTGAGTAAGTTGGCAATAAAAAAGGTCTTAAAACTGATGCCATTGAGGTTGAGTGGTTGGAAGAGGAGGATAGAGCATGAGGTTAAATTATCAAGTCTTGAGTATTTCAACAGATCAACAGATGCTACCTTCAAAATCTTAACACAGAGTGATTTCAAAGGCATGACAATCAAGAAAAAAAGAATTGAAAATATAGGAAATAGACCATTAAATAAAGCAGAAAATGGTGGAGGAGGATGGTTAAAATGGCCAACTGGCTTCTTTTCTCTTTAACAGCCAACCTCACCCTGTGCTAGGCACTGCACAGTATTTTAACCCTCACCCAAAACTAGTTATGCCTGCAAACATAAACTCTACTTTTCTAATCCACCAACAGGTTGTAAATCCTCTAATCAGGGAGAAAAAGGTTGATATCCCATGGCTCTTCATTGATTCTAAGAAACAAGGGGAAAATAAACTAAACAGGGGAAAGGGAGAAAATGAAGAAGACTGAACAGGAACAAGATAATAAATTGAGCCCTTTCAACAAACCATAGTCCTTGGGGGTGTGAACTGTATTTAAAGAGGAACAGTCACAAGAGGATGGTTTTGTAAGCCAACTGTGACGGATCATCTAAGCGCAGTAATGAAGTGGAAACTGTCTCCACCTATATCAATATGTAACGATCACCTGGATTCAATTGAACATTTTATGTATGGGCACAAACTGGAAACTATACCAACACTTTTGACCACCAGATTAACCTCTGGACAGAAACAATGCAATATTATTTCTTCAGTTGTAAAATTTTTGTTTTTTTTTTTGTTTCTTAGGGGGTTAAATTTTTCTTTTTATCCCGTCAAAAAAGTACTCTCAAGTTTTGGACCATGCCTTAGTATCCTCCTGGTGGAGAGTAAAATTTTGTGCTTATTGGCATTGAACCAGCTACAATATTATGGACAGCCCCGGAAATGGTTTTACTGCATTTAAGTGGCATGTGATATTTCTTTGGTTGATATGGATACTTTAAAAAAAAATTATAATATTTTTAAAATGGTCTCAGAAACAAATTCTACTCTAAAATGAAGAGGAATTTGGACGGTTTAAATACAGAAATAACAACTGAGATATCTAAAAAAAGAACCCCAGAGGATACTACGTTAAGTAAATGACACTTGAGGCAAATAAAGAGACTGCACACAAATGCAAACACAACACAAACATTTTTGAGAGTCAAATCTCTGTTTAGTCTGAAAAAGGACACAGTATTGAAAAAGCCCATTTATTTCGCTCTTAAACAGAGCAAACAAACATAGCATTTCACTTTAAATAGAGAACTCAACCAAGAACCTTTATTCTGTGGCAATTGTGCCAACAGTTAGGTGACCTTTTGTGCCTACCTTTAACCTCCCTTATTTATGGTCACGTCATATATCTTATGAAATAAATCAAGCTTTTGCACAATTGTAACCCTAGTCAAATAATTTTGTCCTGCACTATGAGCAGACACTATTTCCTTAGAGTTCCTGTACAAACTGCTAGTAATTCTTTGGGCAAAAAAATCACCTAAATTTGTGGCAAAATTACTAGCAATTTACACAAGTTATCTCTGGTTGCCCAAAAATTAGGCTCAAAATCACAGTGCAATATGTTAACACTACATCACAGGGTCTGCAGAGACTAAGAATGGATTTATAGACACAAGTGCACCAGATACCAAGATCTGAATTTGTAAGAGAGAGACTAGTAAAATTATTTTCAGAGCTAACAAATCTTAAAGAAACTACAAATTCTAAAAACCTCTTGCTCAATGTATAATCTCCAGTAACGACCAGCATTAGGGAATCGTCTTACAAGCTTTTCACACAGAACTCTAGATGTTTCCAAAGGAGTATTCTAAAGCAAATAAAACAGAAAAAATATTTGCTCTTAACACAGAATTAACTCAAACATCTCTGTTGTATTATCAGTTCTAATGATACATACATGGAAATTAATGATGAGAAAATTAAAAATAATAATAATAAAACTTGAGAACCTACAGTTTAAAAGAATTGAACTGATTAATCCAAAGTGACTTTTCACATTCAACAGCAAAAACAGTGATAAAAAGTTTTAAACTAACAAATTGAGAAAATTATTTTTAAGAACTTTTTTGTATTTAAGATAAAAACCAATAAAATTTCAAAGTTTAAAGGGAAACTGAAGCTCTAAATTTTAACCATTTTAAAATTGCAGCTTACAGCTTAAATATAAATGTTCAAAAGCTTTTTTCAGTCTTTGGTTTGAACCTCTCTTTGAAAAAATATTTTTTTACCCAGCAGTACCATGGCTCAGAAAATCAATGTCAGTGGTTAATATCAGTCACTGATATGGAAGAAAGATCAGAACCCTTAGACACTGTTGCCTCAAAACTTGCATTCAGTAGGTTTATTGAAGTTGTGTGGCTTCTTATAATGATTAAAATAAAAAGGGGAATGATAGGGCATGTTTCTCACACTGAGAAAATGTTTGACTTCAGGCTGAGAATGTCATAAATCAATCAGTGAATATGTCTGTGTTGTTTATTTAGCCATCCCTTGACTTCCCATGAACGGTTTTGTATGGTCATATACTTTCTAATTTCTTTTCTCTAGTCATCACACTTTAAATATTCCATACTTTCATATATAGAAGTTGTTTGGAAACCTTATCAGCCCAGTAGTCTGTGGGCAAGAGATCTATGGAAAAACTCAACGTGGTTGTACACAATCCCAAGCACAGTCAGTTAGTAAGTCATTAAATCACACAATTGAGTTGTCTCATTTGTTTATGTAAAGTGATATGTTTGTTTGTATGGTATGCTTTTGTACTTTTTTTGCAAACACAGTGTGAACTTTTTCAGAGTTAGAATTAATGTCATTTTGAGAAAGAGATGGACAGTGTTTTCAGGCTTTCTTCAATTTAGTTTCTAATCATCAGTAATTTACTTATGGTGTGTTGCACAGAATATGCATGAGTGAAGTCACACCAAAATCTTCAAAAGAAAATAGCTGGCAAAATTTCTCAAGGAAATTGCAAAGCACCTCATTACAAACAATAACTCAAGTTTGAAATTCTTTGAACACCTGCAAAGTACAAGCCAAAGGAGGACACCATCCCAAAAATAATTCCTTAAGACCCAAAAACAAATCCTCAGCTATCATCTCAAAACTGTCACCGCACACAAGTGAAAAGAGGATTTACATGTGTATTATGAAAACACTCAATTGACCTTAGTATCATTTATCAGGGGACTCAGATTATAATTTACCATAGCTTTTCACTGTGTGGCAGGAATGTCTGTATTTTATGTGTTTTAGTTAGACCTGAGAGTGAAAGGAATACAACTGCCTATGTCTTTTGCCAGTTTCTTGCCTATGTAGGCCAATCAGCTCTTGACAACAAAAGCATTTGTCTGCCAAAAAAATAGCTTCAAAATGTCTGCTGTAAAGACATTGATCTTTCAGTGTTTCCAATTCTTGTAGAATGATCAATCACAGCTTCTGTTTCCTCAATGTCTTCTTCCAAGTTGACCAGTTCTTTGCCTGAAGAGTAATTACTGTAATTTCCAGCCGTTTACCCACACGGCCGATTACCTGCACCAGCCAATTATTGCATATGGCGAAAAAAAAGTCAACAGATTACCCACACTGGTGGATAACCCGCACGGTATGTTATTTAACTTTTTGGTGATGAAAACGTGACATTAAGGTGATACATTTCAGTCTTTTAAAAGTTGTCTAATCTAACTTTCGAAAGCTTTAAAGCTTCTTTGTCGAGTTTAAAGGTCGAAGAAATTCAGACGCGTGCACAATTCTGTGTCAATATTAGCATGTTCTTTATCAATAAAATTATACAGTAGAAACACTAGCGGCCCATGCCCAAATCTCAATGTTTCATACTTGACAGAATGCAAATTTGTGGCCACAATTTGTGCAAGTGATCGTTCAGCATCATGTTGATTTGTTGAAAGAAAGCTGGGTTGGCGATTTCGGAAAAAAATAGATATCTCCGGTTCTCTTGAGCCTAACAAGTCCCTTAATACAGGAAAATTCTCTTTAGCTCAAGCTAGTGTTAAATGGAAATTTGTTATTGATGTGCCAGATATGTTTGGATTATTTTTGTCACCATCAAGGTTTTGTTTTCACATGTGCCAATAATAATTTGTTTGTCACACAACAAATTATGTGTGAAATAAACTCAAGTCGGCATCATGTTTTCGTGCCGCTTAGTGGCACTCTTAATATTATAAAATTAATTTGAGAGGTGGAAACGCATGTAGGTGAGAATTTTTTCAATTCAACTCCCAGTAGATTTTAAAATTGTCACATAACCTGCACCTCCCTATCGCCCGCAGTGGTGCACATTTAATGCAAAATCAACAGATTACCCACAGATAAACAACTGGAAATTACGGTAAGCTCACACTAGAAGGGCGACAAACCATTTATACTTGCAAAATAAAGACCAATAAATAAAATGTATACACTTATTATGTACTGATATGCACCTTTTGCAAGAAAAAGAAATGTTTCATTTCCCCACCATTTAACTGCTGCTAATCATTTCGAGCCTGTGGTCTTACAACCACAAAAGCAGTAAAAAGGCAACTCCATATCAACTTTACTCGTAAATAATAGGTGAATAAAAATAAAAACCAAGACTTTATCTTTTTCCACTAAATCTACCTAGAAATGAACTCAGAAAAAAAATACAACTTAAGGCTTTAGTTCCCCTTTAAGTTACATTATCATCAGGCTAAATGATGGTGAAGATATAAGTATTTATTCATGTTAATCACAAACAATAGTTCAATCAAAGGAGGAGTAAAAATGATAGAAATGTTCCTTAGACAGAGAGTTTCAGATGGATGATGTCAGTCTGCATGTTTTAACTTAGATTCCATACCATTAAAAAATAATCTCACAAATGAAGCAATCTAATTTCTTTAGCACTTTCCAAGAATTCTGAAAGGAAGCCATTTTGCATACATAATCATGTAGTTTAATGACTACATGATTTGACTCTGGAAAAAATGTGGAAAACGGTATTTTCAAATTAAATCTTACAAAAACTAAAACTTGGTTTGGCAATGATTTTACATTATCAGCCTTGCCTTTTTCTTCAATATTAGAAAATTTCGGGCAGTTCTACATCTGGGTTACAGCTAATGTAATAACAATGAATAATTCGCATCCTTGCAATAAGTTTTTAGCGCTGATTTGTTTAAAAAAAAAACCCGTTTTTACCTGTGCCTCTCTTATTAGTACTCCCCATGATTCTGTGTCGTAAGGATGATGTTGTAGCCGCAGTTCTGCTTTAATTCCGCGTTCAGTTGTGCTCCAAAATGTGACACCTCCATCCTTGACAAGCAAAACCAATTTCATCGATTGGGAAAAGCTCAAATTTAAAATTAACATACAAACTGAACAACCAAAAAAACGGCTAATTTCAAACAAAAAAAATAATTCAAATGCTCATAATAAGTTGAATTGATAATTCTGAGCGGACACTGATTAAGAAACAGAAATGTATCGGCCACTGAGCTACGTCAAATCAACAGATCTCTAGGAAACAGATTTCACAGCTTGCAAAATATGCCTTGGCAGTTAAATTCACCCTGAAGTTTACTTAATTTAACAAAACTCGGTGAAGCTTGGAAGGCACTTTGCTCATCACTTTCTTATTAAGCTCTTAACTACGACAACTTTGCCCCAAAATTGAATTTCTGTGCGGGTTTACCTTGATATGATCAGAGCTCATACGCCTTTCTACTGCACCATTACCAACTACCTGTCCCGCTGCTTGCATCATTTTACGCTCCAACAGTGATTTGAAACATTTCCTTAAACCTATATGGATAGAGTGGAAAGCCCTATAACTAAGTCACCACACGACTAAGAGGTAAAGCGAGGAATCAGAAACACAATTTAGGAAGACATGGTGGAACGCGTGGTGGTGAGCTATCATGTAGGCGAGCAAGGAATGATGGGAGTGTGAGACCCAGCCCTACTCGATCATAATTTGCTTTCTTTCTTGATTAAGTTTTGCATTTCCAACCAATCTACGAGAGAGGGATTTTCCTCGAGTATAAAATGTTCTAACGCTGTACCCAAGGAGGATAACTCACTCATCACAGTCATGATAAGGTTACCTCAACACTTAGAAGCATTAAAATCGATCTAAGTATTGCCCGACTTCACAAGTTTTGGATTGTGCGAAAGTAGCCATACTAGTATGCCCATTGGGACGAAATGATGTAGGCTCCCGAATAGTTAATATTTATTCACCAAAGTGGAGGTCAAGAGCGCTTGTTATTCACTTCCGAATTAAACAATCAACGCGCGGGAAAAGCATTATTCACTTGTGTGGCATGTACTAGCTAACAACTCTTATAACTCTCGGGTTTTTGTGTTGTTTTTTTAGTTAAAATTTCAACAAAGTAATAGGGGATTCGGAGAGAGCGATTCGTTAAATGGAATCATCTTTTTGAATGAGAAATGTTGGCTTTTCTGTGTTTTTAATGTGTACATGTATTTTATCGCGCTTTATGAGAAAATGCGATACTACTGGACAGATGAAAAATATCAGATTACCTACAGTAAACGTGTTACTCGTGCTGTGGAAATGGTGGATAGTTGTTCGAGAGAAAGTGGAGTTCTGTGCACTGTAGCGCGATCATGGTTATTGTTCCTTCACGACGATAGTGAGTGGAAAAATTTTGAATCAAATACTACTTGAGGTGTTGATGAATTGTACCAAACATTTTTTATTTGAGCAGTTCTTTAACGGCAAACTGTGTCGCAAGATTCATGATTTGTTGAGTGTGCCGATTATATTTTTCTGGATTAGTTTGCTCGGTGCTATCTCTGGGTCAATGTTTCATTAAAATTAATTCTGGACGATTTTGTGTATATTTTCGATGCCTGGAGAAAGTGATCTTGTGGAGTCGCTTGTGTTTGGCCAAGGACGAATTCAGATACCATCGTTAGCATATTTATTTGATTTTGTTATCTGGAATGAATAGTTAATATGATGTAATCAACAAACGTCGAAAATATATCAAGTCGAAGGAACAGTTTTGGTCTCGGTCCGCATTTATGTTAACAAAATAAACACATTAAACACTTAAAAAGGATGATAATACGGACCACGTGCAAAGCCGTCAATTGCTTCTCGAATGTTTCGCGTGTCAAATATTCAATAGTGACATCTCATTTACATCTACATCTACCTCTACTTTTATTACGTCGGTAAAATCTGTACAGAAATCACACCAACCACCTCGCGCGCAAAGTGAGAAGACTCTATGAAGGCTTGAAATTATATTGCGATCGATTTTCATCGTGAAACGGGCTGGAATATTCCACGATAGCGCAAATAATCGTGGAAGCTGATCGCGGAAAAGCGATTGCGTGACGCTCGGTAAGTTGCAAGATGACATGTTGCCACATACCAGACGAAAAAACTCTTTAGATTCTCAGTCTGCATTTTGTACCCACTCTGCAGTGTGCAGTCAACATTTTGTACCTAGTCTACGTTTTTTATCCGGTCTGCAGTCTGCATGTTGTACTAACAGGTACCCGTGGCACCAATATTTTAGTTTTGGTCACAGTTATTCGCACAACACACTCAATGTACCACAAAATATCTGTGTGTGAGTTAATTCGACATTTTCGTTCTTTTCCACGCTAATACACTTCTTTCCTTTTGTAAGAATGTAGACATCACTTACAATGTTTCTAGTAGTCCACCCATCCATTAGATTAAGACAGGCTAAATCGGACAGCAGCCAATTGCAAAGGAACAGAAGTGCTAACCAATGAAAATGAGGAAGAATGCAGGTCGAGAGGTACATATTGACGAAAGATGAATACAGCTACTGTTCATGAGTACACAGAAGCGATTAGTGTCTTTCAGAAGCGTGAAAGACTGAGGAAACCTTTACGGTATAAGAAAGCGCTGACTGAATCTTAAACAATTCAAGAGGAAAAGGACTTCACAGTACTACAGGTAGAGGTAAGCGAAAACTAATCGTCTTTCGGAATGTAAAATTAAAATTATTCGCAACTTAGGATTAAAAAGCTTAGTCGTTTTTGCTACGAGCTGCAGATCTTTTTCAAAGCAGTGTAACAAGCTAGAAAGAATCTGCATAATCACTAACAGCTGAGTGGGTGGATGTCCATGAACGTTGGAGGTCCGGGTAATCTTGTTCCATTTAGTGAATAAAACCGACTTCGGTTCCTAATCTAACTCTCGAACCTATGCTGACTGCAAGGTGTTGTTCAACTTCCGTAGCAACGACCACACGGCGATAACTAATTCATGAGGTTAGAATTGTCAAAATTACGAAATGGCAATGGGTAGAAAGCCACAAGTAAATCTGCCAGATTTTTCAATATTCTAATCGACTTTTAAACAACCGCGACACTATCAGTAGTACGGATTCCGTTGAATTTGAAATGTTGCAAATTATTACTTCCGCCCGAAAAGTGATCAAAGTGACAGCATACCTCTCAATACCTCCTTACAATAATTAATGCAGAATCATTTATTTAAAGCATGAGAAAAATGGAAATGATAGCCCACTTAAGAAGCTTTGATGTTAAACAAATTCTCGTTGTCAACGAGAAGAATTTAAAGAATATATCAACTGATGTTAGAGCATTAAAGATTAATGGCTGGCTAGGGTATCCAGTTAGATCGCACCATGGTTAGATCACTCCCAGTTAGATTGCTGCGACCAAAAGTTAGATCACTCCACTCGAAAGTTAGATTGCTCCATCAAATACGTTACTTCGCTACCAACATAAGTTACTTCGTTCATGTTGTAAAGTGAAGTATTACTTACCAATGATCTTTAAAGTTTATAGGTGATGATGTGTCTTGAGACAATTCAAGTACATCGTATTCACTCTGTCCTTCATATTAGCCACCGAGCTACTGATGTATGATGTACAGTGATGATGGAATAAATGATCATAGAATAAATTATAACGTTATAGTCTGAAGTGTATTGAAAAAGATCATTCAAATACCAATACTATCCAGTGTGGCTTTTTTTTGCAGTTTGATATAAGGAAACTGATATCTGCCATCTTTAATTAATAAAGTAGATTACACTTTGTGAATACCTTTCATGAGGCTTTATTTGTTCTTTCTGAGTAGCTCGGATTTATTTCAAGCATGCACAAGCAATATCAATCAATTGTTCAGTAAAATATGTACGTCATTTAATGAACTATCAATTTAAATACCTTAGTTTTGCTGCCATTATCTTAGTTTTCTACATGGAGTGAAGTAACTTATGTTAGTGGCAAAGTCACTGATTTGATGAAACTTTGTAACTTTGTAACTTTCAAGTGGAGCGATCTAACTTTTGGTTGGAGCAATCTAACTGGGAGCAATCGAACCATGGTGTGATCTAACTGTAATTCCTGGCTAGCATTTGCACAGAATCAACGTAGGGTGAAGTGTTTGCACTGTCATGTTTAGATTTTTCTTAATTTTTTTTTCTTGTGCAATTTTAGGGTTAACATGGAGCTAAGGATTATTTGGTTGCATGTTGTTCTGATTTGCTCACTGTCATTAATGTCAGAATCAGCCAGGGATGTTAACAAAGCTTTAAACATGGTAAGGAACGAGATGGCAGATCATCAAGCTAATGCAAACAAGATTATAGACTTCTTAACAAAAGGACCAGGAAAGCATCAAGTTTACAATAGACTTGCAACGTTTGTTGATACATTTGGCAGTCGAATTGCAGGCTCTGCCAATCTGGAGCATGCTATAGATTACATGCTTGATGAACTGAAAGAGGACAAACTTGATAATGTACATGGTGAAGAAGTGAATGTAACCCACTGGGTGCGTGGTAAGGAATCAGCCCAAATGATTATGCCCAGGAATCACTCTATTGCCCTGCTTGGCCTTGGAGGTAGTGTAGGTACTCCACCTGAAGGTATAACTGCAGAAGTTTTGGTTGTGAGCTCATTTGACGAACTTCATGCCAAGGCCTCAGAGGTATATGGTACATCTTTTTATGTAGTATCAACTCAGTTGATAAATTCAAATTAACTTATAATCCCCCCCTTCCTCTCCCTACTGATGCAACGATGCAGTTTCTTTAGGAACTTACCTCCTTTTTTCTGTTTTTACATAGTTAAGTCAAAACTTCATAAGAAATCAGGCAGGACTTACCATTAAAGTGGTGGCTCTCTTGTTTAGGACCTAGATCTGGAATTTGGGGGCAAATGCTACTGTTGTTTCATCATAATGAATTGTCACTTTCCTTGCCAAACAGCAAGTCATATCCTTCCTGAATTTCTTTTTCCCCTTGCCCCCTACTGGCTCCCAGTTAACTTCTAGCATCAGAAGTTTCAGTTATTTAAAAGTCATAGGAAACTGTATCATTCATAAATGCTACTTCTATGCTATACTTACTTTACTCACTGGTATTTGCATGAGAACTAATTTGAAGATTAAGGCAGAGACATTGTTTAGTAAATATATATTACAAAAGAATATATTGTGTAAAAAACAACTCTTTTCTCTACTCAAGTTGTCATAATGATATCTTTATTGCAATATACTTTCCTCCATAAAGGCTAAAGGTAAAATTGTGGTTTTAAATGAGAAATGGATTAGTTATGGGAAGACAGTGGTTTATCGTACACAAGGGGCTGCAGAGGTGGCTAAAGTTGGTGGCCTTGCCTCCCTCATCCGTTCTGTGACACCATTTTCTATCTACAGTCCTCATACTGGTTGGCAATATTATGAGAAAGGTAAACTTATCAATACTTTTAAGTATATTACCTCTCTATATTTACCTATTGCTTTTTAACCAACCATGAAAATGATAAGATATGATAAGCCTTTTTTTTTAATTAGCCTACTAGCCTTTTTTGCAGTGGTCATGTGGTCTCACCATACTCCAGTGTCTCTCACCTACAGGGCAATGCTAAAGAAATGCTGGAATTGAGACCATGAGAGAGTCAGATTAATTTCTTGGAGATTAAATTCTAATTTTTTGAAAGCACAAATTAAGGCAAAATCTCAGAACTTTAAGCATCTTCATCTAGGCCTTGACCAAATCAAGAATTAGTGATAAGAAAAAGAGAAAAAAGTCTGTGAATGGGAAGAAAAACCTTTGGGTCACTTGACTTTAAAAATTTGAAATTTATAATTGGACAATCTTTTGAATAATGTACAAAGAAGCATTAATTGTTGTACCAAACAGATACCTGCAGTATGCAGGTTGAAAATTATTTTACAAGCATCTAACTTTTATTAGAAACAGGCCTATATAATGCAAGGTAGGGCATGGCAATTCAATGGATATTGATGTCATTTGTCACAGGAGTGAAGAAAATCCCAACAGCCTGTATTACAATAGAGGATGCAGAAATGATGACCAGGATGGCTGCTAGAGGAACAAAAATAATAGTTAATTTGAAAATGGAAGCCCAAAATTTGCCACAAGTAGTTTCTAGGAACACAGTTGCTGAGATAGAAGGCAGCGTGCATCCAGAACAGGTATCTGCATTTCATTGAGCTAATTTTTTCCTTAATGGCTACCAGGGCCCAGTTGGTCAAAGGGTGCTTAATACTATCCAAAGGATAATTCACTATCCAGTGGATGAGTGTTAACAAAACAGGACTTACTGCGTCTTTAATCATGTTTTTCAAGGCATACAGGCTACAGGGAGCTTCGTATATCTCTAATTTTTCACACCTAAGGTCTGTCACTACAATTTGCGCTCCTCTGCTCTTAATGTTTCCCAGCCTGTAAATACCTCTAGCCATATTCATAGCTCTTTTTCATATATTATCTCTCATTCCTGGAACCAGCTACCATCTTCAGTTAAATCGGCAACTACTCTAGCAGAATTTAAGACTGGCCTATCTTTCATAACTACACTTGGCTGTAAGTGTAATAAATGTATTAGTATACAATTGTAGGGGTAGGGTTATGAATTGGTAATTAGGCTTCAGGGTTAGGGCTACAAGTTAGGTGATTAGGGCTGGTAGGGTTTCAGGGGAGGTTCAGAATTAGGGGTAGGGGGCTAGGTGATATTTTTGCATTTCTTTTTTTCGTCATATATACATATATTTAACTTGTACATATATTTATATACACATCTGTACTTTAACTGTTGAGCGTTTTCAACATGAGCCATTAGGCTCGGGGGATTGGGTAACCACCCCCTACGTTACCGACATAAAATAAATTGTATTGTATTGTATTGTATTGTAAACAGACTTCGCTGTCCACCAGTTAGATATTTATTCAATGAATAGCTATATCCACCTTGCAAATAACCAGAGCCTGATTTATCAATTATGTCTGAATCTTGTCATTGTATTTAACATCTATTTGTGATGTCCTCTTTTTTTTCAGGTGGTTCTTGTCAGTGGCCATCTCGACAGCTGGGATGTTGGTCAAGGTGCAATGGATGATGGAGGTGGTGCATTCATTTCCTGGCAAGCACTGTCAGTTATTCGACAACTAGGTCTCAAACCAAAACGCACAATGCGGATGGTGCTATGGACAGGAGAAGAGGTGGGTCTTCTTGGAGCAGAACAATACTACAACCGACACAAAGATAGTGCAGGAAATTTCAGCTTGGTGATGGAGTCTGATATTGGAACCTTCAAGCCTCTAGGGATAGTGTTTCAAGGCAGTGAAAAAGCAGCAGTCATTATGAAGGATGTGATGGAGCTGTTGAAGCCAATTAATGTCACTAACCTAACAGTTACTCATGTTGGTGGGGATATCACCTTCTGGATCCAAGATGGGGTACCAGGTGGAAGCTTGAAGAATGAGAACAGCAAGTACTTCTATTTCCACCACTCAAATGGTGACACCATGACTGTACAGGATCCTGATGCCATGGACCTGTGTGCTGCAGTGTGGACTGTTGTGGCTTACACTGTTGCCAATCTGGATGAAATGCTGCCTCGAAACTAGTAACAGCAGAACTATGATTACCAATGTAGTTCTCTTTCATTTTCAGTATTGTAAAAAGTCTTACTACTTTTTTAAGGTAGCAATGAGCTCAAGACACAGACACTAAAGCAAATGAAATAATATTTTTTAAATATAATTTAGTGTGAGATGAGATGAACATTCAGGTAGGAAAGGAGAGGGAGGGTGACATGATCTGTACTTTAGAGACAGGACAACATTTTTTTTAATTCTACTGCATGCCTTTCACCAGATAGAATAGTTCATTGGAATTTGATTCTAGTAGTTAAAGTATATTTTTTTAAACACAAGTATATACTACTAAAATGATACCCCATTCACACCAAAGCATGGTTTAAAATTTTTTTCTTCATGGAAGCTGCTTAAATTGATGTTTGTTGACGTTAAATGAAGCACGTTGAAAACAGAAGTTGGCCATTTCTTGAATCCTGTGGGAAATTTGGTTTATGAGTTCTCTTAAACATGGTTTAAATCAACAGGTTTTGAAGGTGTGAATTAATTTAAGTTAAGTTAACACTTTGTAGTTGTAGGTTTTTTTAGGAAACTTAGGTAGGGAAATATTTCACTCCTTACTGTTTTGCAAGTTATGGTCCTCTGTACAGGGAAAGAAAAAGTCTTCTGGGGCATTACAATCCTATTCAATAGCTTCCCTAGGACAACTTAACAAATTCCTGTACAAGGAGGATTCCTAATAGCTCTACTATGTAGTCATATGGCACAAGCACAATAGCACCCAAGCTGACATAGACATCAGCAAAAGGTGTTGATTCCCCTTGTTAAAGTGAAACTACTGTCACTATTTCTAGACATACTCTATTCCCCTTCAGGGAAGATGGGTCCTTTGTCATTTTTTCAAATATCAAAGTCCATCCTGCCTTTGGAGGCTTTGACTCATAGCTGAAGCTTACTAATCTCTGTGGGGAAAATCTTGTCTGGACGTAACAACATGTGGATTTTTCTATTTCTGGGATAATCCCTCTTTCAAAATTTTGAGGAAGATTTGTAATTGACAGAATTTTTCAAATAAAAGAATTGTTTTTCAACGGAAACTACTAAAATGTTGATTTTTAAACCGCCGAGGGATAATTTAGGCGAACCAAAAGACCAATATTTCAAAACTCTTCTGGTTTCACTGAGAACCTCCAAAATTAAAATTAAACCACATGGAAGTTTAATTGATAAAGCAAAAACTAAACCGAACAGCAGGGAGCGAGGGGGGCTGTCGGGTAGGAGCAGACCTCGCTCCTTCCCTCTTTCAATGCAGGAACTATCGCCTGCGAATTATAAATTGGTTTGGTGAAATAAACCGCCTCATGATCTTCTCGCGAATCGTTTCATTAGGATAATACGTAGTAGGAGCTTTTGGAACTACTGCCTTCTCAAGGATTGACCCCGCCCCCTCCCCCCCCCCCCCCACGACGTTTAAAAACACCTGTCTCCTTCAAAACACAGGTCAACCACCCTACGAGTACCCTGAAATGAAGAAATGCATGAAAGTTACGAATAAAACTCTAAATGATGCGTGTCTTGGTCTGAAAATCTAACTCCGCTGAAGCGAAATGTTGAAATACCGAGATATCTTACCTCTCGAGGCAGTTAAAAACAAGAGTCTTCTAACGTCAGTTTTCACCGAATCACCTTCCCGCGACAGCAAAATGTTCCACGTCACATCAGCCCTGTAAGACTTCCATGCCTCAGAAATGCTACGACAGACTTGCAAAATTTGTCGATACATTTGGCAGTCGAGTTGCATGCTCTGCCAATCTGGAGCATGCTATAAATTACATGTTTGCACTGTCATGTTTAGATTTTTCTTAATTTTTTTTTCTTGTGCAATTTTAGGGTTAACATGGAGCTAAGGATTATTTGGTTGCATGTTGTTCTGATTTGCTCACTGTCATTAATGTCAGAATCAGCCAGGAATGTTAACAAAGCTTTAAACATGGTAAGGAACGAGATGGCAGATCATCAAGCTAATGCAAACAAGATTATAGACTTCTTAACAAAAGGACCAGGAAAGTATCAAGTTTACAATAGACTTGCAACGTTTGTTGATACATTTGGCAGTCGAATTGCAGGCTCTGCCAATCTGGAGCATGCTATAGATTACATGCTTGATGAACTGAAAGAGGACAAACTTGATAATGTACATGGTGAAGAAGTGAATGTAACCCACTGGGTGCGTGGTAAGGAATCAGCCCAAATGATTATGCCCAGGAATCACTCTATTGCCCTGCTTGGCCTCGGAGGCAGTGTAAGTACTCTGCCTGAAGGTATAACTGCAGAAGTTTTGGTTGTGGGCTCATTTGATGAACTTCATGCCAAGGCCTTAGAGGTATATGGTACATCGTACACTTTAACGTACTTTACAAATCGAACGGATCACTAACAGATCAATTGTACTTCATAGTTTCAGTTGCCCAAATTCAGTAATATCCCTAATACAAGAAGTATGCTTATAGGATCTTCAAAAAAGAGAGTTGCGACGTCTCTCCAAACCTACTATCCGCATCTGGTTGGGTTTCGCTTGTACCCATTCAGACTACTGGGTGAAGAGACAAACTTTCAGCGAGAACCCACTGGGACTTATTCGAAATGCAGCGAGCTCGTTCAAACCTTAAAGCCACTTTAACTTCCACAAAAAATGACAATGTAAATTAGCCTGGTGCCACCAACAAGAACTGTCAAACTTCGTGATGAGAGTGACAAAAGCCGTGGAAGATCATATCCTCCAACTAAAATGCTTGTCATGATTCTGGGCTAAAGAGGTGGCCAGCAGGTTGTTCCCTCTGAATTATTTTAAGAGAAAAATCTTTCGATGATTGCAGTGAAAGTCAATGTCAAGTTACCCTAAAAAAATGCCAAAAAGTAAAGCAAACGGGGTAACTATAGCACTTTTTCACTTCCCTGGTATATCTAGATTATGTCATTTCTTTTCCCCTGCAGGCAAAGGGTAAAATTGTGGTTTTTAATGAGAAGTGGATCAGTTATGGAAAGACAGTGGCTTATCGAGTATATGGCGCTATAGAGGTGGCTAAGGTTGGTGGTCTTGCCTCCCTCATCCGTTCTGTGACTCCATTTTCTATTTACAGTCCTCATACTGGTTGGCAAGTTTATAAAGAAGGTATAGTATGCCTGTGTTACCTACATATCTTTTACCTATCGGTCATCAACCAGACAACCATGTAAGACTTTAAAACTTTAAAGGTCAAGAACAGATCCTTGCAGATACCAGAGTTACAGGTAGGAAATTTTGTTCCTGGCAGCTCATTCATATCAGTAATAGGCTATAGAATAAACAATAGTCTCCATTTAGCGCGAAAATACACACTGATATTTGTGCGTGCACATTATCTGTTTCAACTGTTTCAACAGTTTTCCGGGAGCGAAGCTGGTGGAAAACTGCAAGCTTCGAGGAACAGATAATGTCCAAAGACAAATATACGAGCGTATTTTCGCGCCAAAAAGAGGCTATAGTGTTTATCATCAAATATATACCTTCAAATATTTGCGACGCGGGAAAAAAATACTGTTTGCTGCCCGGGATGTTCACTTTTCAGTACTCTCCGGTATGATCTCATTAACAAACAAAAATGTCCCTTTTTCTGTAACAACCCCAAAACGCTCTGTCATCTTGAATAAACTTTTAAATGGAGGCTCATCGTAGTTGACGTAAGGTTTGAAATTGTGGAATATCCCTTGAGGTATATCCTCGGATATTCCCCATTTTTAGCTGGGAAGTATTCAGTCATGTGATGCGTTTAGACTAATCGCGCGCGAGCAGAAAATATTTGATTGATTACAATGCTAGATATGGCATTCCCATTCATATATATATATTGATGTCGTGTTTCATAGGAGTAAAGAAAATCCCCACAGCCTGTATTACAATAGAAGATGCAGAAATGATGGCCAGGATGGCAGCAAGAGGAACGAAAATAATCGTCAACTTGAAAATGGAAGCCCAAAATTTGCCGCCTGTAATTTCTAGGAACACGGTTGCTGAAATAAAAGGTAGCGTGTATCCAGAGCAGGTAAGTGCTTTTCAAAACTTTCTTTTAGGCTGGGACAACTGGCCCCAATCCAACAGTGTTGGATTGGGGCCAGTCACGTCACTGTAAAAGTGCAGCAGGTTACGTCTGAGCGTAGTTTCGTCGATAATGTTGCTTGGTCAAACACTGAAGAGTTTATCTGGAAAATTTTCAAAGTCGAGCTGGGTTCCATATGATGCTTCGAACTTGACTGATTTAAATTTTTATGTCACGTTGCCTGTTCTTCGCCCCACAAAGACTATTTCTTCTAAATGATTCATCCGGTCTTCTTTTTCTCTCCAATCATTTGCTTTTTTCCGTCTACAAGTTATTCCCTAAGGCTTCTATTACAAATCTAATACCCCTGGTTGTTAAAACCATCCCTCGCTTTGTATTTTGCATTTTAATATTACAACCACCCGGTCCCACCCTGGCAACCAAAGGGATTCCAAAAAAATAGGTCGCCTGCATTTTCCTGTTCTTTGAGCACGTCGCAGTTATAGGAATTCGGTATAGGCAAGGCTATATCCTTCATATATACTTTCTCTCTGATTGGCTTTTGTGCTCTAAATAGCTTTTATTTCACTTCACTCAAACAAGAAGAGCGTTAGTGAACAGTATGGTTCAAAAGACAAAATTAAGAACAAGATGTTCATTTACTTGGGTGATATGAGAATTCTCTAGCCGCTACGCAGAATCCCCCAGCTCAATTTTGATGGCTAGATCTCCTTCCTTTTATTCAGACGAGGATAATATTATCTTGTTGGGTCACACTGATCTCCCGCTATTAATTTCGTAGAAAAAACTTCGTCAGTGTACGATGATCATGTCTTTTTTTCTTGACTTTTAGGTGGTTCTTGTTGGCGGTCACTTAGACAGCTGGGATGTCGGTCAAGGCGCAATGGATGATGGGGGCGGGGCGTTCATTTCCTGGCAAGCACTGTCAGTTATTCGACGATTAGGTCTCAAACCAAAACGTACAATGCGCATGGTGCTATGGACAGGAGAAGAAGAGAATATCCTTGGAGGAAAACAGTATTATAACCTTCACAAAAAAAACGCTGGAAAATTCAGCTTAGTGATGGAGTCTGATTATGGAACCTTTAAGCCTGTAGGAATAGCCTTTCAAGGCAGTGAAAAAGCAGCAGATATTATGAGGGAGGTAGTGAAGCTTTTGAAACCAATTAACGCCACCAATCTCAAAGCTGTTAATCTCGGTGGGGATATCGATCCTTGGATCCGACATAGGGTACCTGGTGGAAGCTTGGACAATGAAAACAGTAAATACTTCTTGTTTCACCACACAAATGGTGACACCATGACTGTACAAGACCCTGATGCCATGGATTTGTGTGCTGCGGTGTGGACTGTTGTGGCTTACACTGTTGCCGATCTAGATGAAATGCTGCCACGAGATTAATGCTAATAGAGAACTTTTTCCTTGGATTTCCAACTCATCCATTAGTTTCATATCTAGCAATTAGCTCACGAAACATAACCTCTGTATAACACATTTCAACAATGCGTGTCAGCAAAAGACAATTTTTATCACAATTTTTTAGGATTAGTCGGTGAAGTGAAGGTCAAGAGATAAGGTTTGGGAAATATCACTAGAATGACATGCACGGTTCTCATAGTCATGAAAGGGTATAAAAACTTTCAAACTTATATTTTTCTACGGCAAAATTTTTACCAATAAAGGGGTTAATTTTGTCTGGGAAGAGTCAATTTTGGGATTGGTATTTCTCATGAAGGACAGATCTTAATGTCGAGTATTTGGAACGTGCTAGGTGACGTGATATGTATATCAATGATCGACTCCCGTTAATTTGCTAAGATTGATAATTCGTGTACTTCCGACACTACTGTGTTCAAGGTTTCGAAGTTTTCAATTAATTAGTGCATTATGTTGGGCTTACAGTGAAACTGAGTGGGTACACACACGCACAAACTGATTGCAACGAACATTTCCCTTAACTGATGACGTCGGCAACAGAGAAACATAATTGATCACAAATTCCACTTGTTAAAACACCTGAATCTTAAATTTATCATTTTCGTTATGTCATTCTCTGATAGAACGTAAATAAAGAGTGTCTAGGCAAAAGTTTTGTAAGTGATTTGGGTAAAGCAAACCGAAAGTGGAATTGGCTTTCGTTATACCTTCAAGATGCAAAATAAGATTTACCGGGTTTTTGCAGTGGGAAGATCTGTATTTCTCATAGAAGACTGACTATTCTTCGTAATTTGTACCACGCATCTCTAAAAATGCAATTTTAAAGAGAAAATTTACAAACAGCATTTCGCGGCTAGTTCAACTTTTGGAAAACTGGATCCTGAGTTCGCTAACGTAACACAATCGATCTCTTAATCCAAGTGCTTTCCAACGACCATCATGACACATGTACATAGTTACATGTACACAGTACAGATGCGAGTGAAGTTGCACGCTTAGTTCTTATCAAATAAAACGCAAAACCTCGGCTTGACATGAATGATATATTCAAAATGCATATAGCGCGTTAAACCCTTTACACCCTAACATTAGCATGTATATTCTCCATACAGTTCTTTATACACTTCCTATAGCACTGACAAGGAGAATTTAGAAAAAATCAGGAGTTTTTTTAAGTTTTTGATCATTTCCTTATTTTCAAGAGCCTTAAGTTTGATTCATTAGGAAAACCACAGTGATGCTCTTCACCATAAGAGATTTAAGGGTTGTGATCAGAAATCAGTTCCTTTGCAAATCGTCGGGAATTGGAATACAAACGCTCATTTTAGCTGCAACGATACCCCTGGAAAATTTTGTCGCTGGCTCAATGTATGATTATTTTGAAAGAGTTGTATAAAAGCTACCTACAACAATGCTTTAAGACGTTCGCTGTCACATTTGTATCGACAATTTTACGGTTGTGCTGAAGACCGTCATCATTTGGATCGAAGGTTGCATTCCTCCGTATTAATCGAAGTGCCATAAAATCAAAACCAAGGCAATCACAAGAGCCAATCATAACAAAGGAAAAAGGAGCTCTAATTTGTTTTAAGAGCCAATGAGAGCTCATAGTGACAGCAACCAAATTGCCTTAAGCGCGGGAAAACGCGGGCGACCAAGTCGCGATTGGTTTTAGTTTTGCATCTGATTGTTTGAAAAAGTGGCGCAAGTCTGGACCAGTTAATACTTGCAGCACAGCGAAACCAAAGCAAATCCGGATTTCTTTCGACACTCAAATTGATATTTACTGTAGCAATCTAACATTATTATAGATCATTCGGCAGCGCTGTGGGAGGGTAAAGGTGATTTTTTGACAATGCTCCAATTAAATACAAAGTTTTCCGTGGAGTTGTTTTTGCGTCATGTTCCTTCTTTCCTTCTTTTGATTTGCCGCCGTGGTAGTCCTCGACTGAGGATGCTATATTCTCTACAACCTCCTTTTCGTCTAGTTTGTGTGACTTGACAAATTCCAGCTGTTTTAGGTAAATCTGGATTCTTCTTCTGGCCAGTCGCCTTCGATTAGGAATCAGTATTATCTTTTCTTTCTGTTGCTCACTGTCGTTTTCATCTTTTACTTTTTCCACTTGTTCGTCTTTTGGGCGTTTCTTCGCTTCAGACTTTGGAATCGGGGGCAGAAAAGTATTCGTCCCAGTAACGGTGTCCATTTTCACCACCATCGCTTTTCGCTGGGACTGCGCAGATGATGATCGTCCGGCACGTTTGACTGTGTTTTTGTCTTTACTGTTGATACGAGTCTCTCCGGAACCACAAACAGACATTCTTTTATCAACGTTCAATGTTTTTCCGCGATTGCTAAGCGTGTTTCTTCTCCCGTCCAATGAACGCGCGAGGAATGAGTCACCATTCACCTGAGCCCGGAACACTTTCCTCGCAAACATTTGACTTCCTTGGTCATTGATGCTAACCCAAGCCTGCTTGGACTGCTTTGTCTCTGACACATCTTGAATCTTCTTTATGAAACCGTCAGGCCTGTCACTGATTCGAAGCCATCCCTTATCCATCTCTTTTCGATCTTTTAGTTGCTCTATGTTGAAGCTTTCCAAAGATTCTTCTTCATTCTCGTCTTGTTTCAGTTCCTGTTTGGCTGCCTCAACCGGCGTCAAGTCATCGGTTGTACATTCTGTCAATTTCTTGTGCTGTTGGGAGTCGTCTTCTTGAAGACTTTTCTCAAATTCGTGGAGTTCTTTCGATTTGAAAAGCTTTTTTGGCTTTGGTGAGGGGTCATCGTCGACTTGATTTTGACCAGCAACATCGCGATGCATCTCTTGGAGAACAACATCGGCCAGATGAGGTCGGCTTTCTGATGAAGCTACTAACAGTTCGGCCAGTGGAACCTTACGATTTAACAAATCGCTGCTGTGAAATCCAACCCTAGGCTTTCTTACGTTCCTGCGCACAAAAGTCCATCGAGTTTTTCCTGCTCTCTCCTTTTCCAGACGCTGCTCCAACTTTTCAACTTTTAGCTCAAGTCGCCTCAACTTCTGTTGGCCATGCATTCTTTGATTTCTCGTTCGGTCTGTTTTCTGGAGCAGTTCCTTAGTTTGTTTTATTTTTTCCTCCAAGTCTGTCTGAACTTCTTCGAGTCTCTCGACTTCTGTTAATTCACGAGTCTCGGTTTGTTGTTCAACGCAATCTTCCCCACTGTCTTCGCTCTCCGAGTCGCTGTCAAATCCGTTAAAAAAACCATTATTATCGAAGAATGCGTCAGAAGAAGAAGTGCCTGACTGAGTTTTTGACGTATTTTCTCGTCCCCGGTTTCGTGTGAAGTTTTGAGTAAAGGATGGAGAGCCTTGATCAGTTTTCTCCTTGATTTTCAATTTAATCTCGTGATCCTCAGGATGTTCTGAATCGGCGATGTCCTCGACTAAACTTTTAACAGTTTTCAATTGCTGTTGGAAGTTTCGTTGTTGAATGATTCCAGGCTTTTTTGCAGTTGTTTTCTTCCTTGACATCGTGGAAGGAATTATTGCAGTCGAGATTCACTAACCTTTACAGGAGAAACGCTAGTGATGTGTCGAGATGGTAACATCGCCTTGATATGTTGCTAAGAACTCTCTGGGCAATACATCAAACAGTAATTTTCACTTTTGTTAGCAGAACACTGCGTGAGTTTGAACGGATATCAAAACAACTTCCACATACCTGATAATTCAATATTAGCTTTACGTAAGTCGTTATAAATAATTAAGAGCAGTTTCAGATGTCGATTTATTTTGGTCCTGTGAGCAAAGTGGTGCCCCTAACTGCAAAGGGATGAAAATTTTGCGTGAAATAGTTCCTAATTGTCAAGAAGGTTTTTGAGACATTCAAATACACCCAATGTTGTTACAAGGAACAGTTATAGTCAAGAAGTTGTACCAGTGCTATTGTTTCAATAAGGATGAACATAACGTTTTTGCATAATTTATTAAGTTATTGTCGTAACAGTTTGTTTTAAATTCAAATTTCGTAAGAAAATTTCAGACAAAAGCAAACACCCAGAGCTTTATTCAACTATGCAAGTGGGTTCAGAGTTTTTGCTCAAATATTCCAACACCTTTGTAAGGCAATGGTTATTGAAAGAGTGGAAGATATTTCTGGAATATCACCTTAATATATATTTTTAAAGTAAATAATTCGTATGTCGGCTTTATTAGTACCACCCGCAGCCCAAATCGTGCACCAAGGGTATTACCGAAGTCGATATTTTTAGAAACAGCAAGAACTAAAACCTTAGGTTGCAATGGAAAGGATCATTTCTCATGCCCACACTTCAAAGGGGTACTAGAAGTGGGCAATAGAGGATGAAAAAAAAAAATATTTAATTTGTAAGATCAATTATTATTGAAAGGTAACGGATTTCAGGCTCAAAATACAACTGCGTTACCGGCTCAGGTGTACTTAGAACCATTTGAATGGCTTCCCTTATCGAGGCAAGGAATTATTTTACGCATTGAGCAAACTTAAATCATCGCGAGTACCATTAGTTTCGACGTTGTGGAATGATATACATGAATAAACGCATCACAGCTTTGCAAGTTTCTACCGCTACCAAGATGTATGTTGATGAGTTCAATTAATCATTAGTCTAGTTGCATATAATTTATGTGGCAACTGGCTGTTAGATGCAGACTTCAGCCAATCAGAGTGACGGTCATTATTCTCAAGTTCATTTCGCAACGTCAACCGCAAGATGTTAATTTGAGCGTGCTTGAAAAGGCTGGAGTGAAATGTAAAAGCGCGTCAGTAATGAATATTGATTGAGGAATTATTACTAAGCTCTTTTCACGAATGGCCTGGAGGTTTGGACGCGTAACTCACGCATTTCCTTTCTCCACTAAGAAGTTCAGAAGAGTACTTACAAACTGTCAAGAAACTTTAATTAAGTTAGAACCGGAATGATAGCAGTGAGATGGACGCGCGCCCGCCCGCGCACCCAGGAAGGATTAGATATACTAATAATTGAGTCATGCCATTAACAACCGGAATAAGTTTCGGCAATTTGCTTT